CTGATATAATATATGCGACAGAAGATGAAGTGGAGTCTCGCCCCGAACGCATTGATTGTCTGCTGTGCTCCACGCGCTTGGCTGACAGCAAGACGCTAGGCCCGGTTAGAAACGGTGGCGTTAAAAACCATGCGAGAGAGCTCGGGAACAAAACAGAAAGAACAAGAAAGATCCGCGGGTGTTTTATAAAAAGGGCCGCCGGCAGTATTGGACAAATTCAAGGACCTATCAAATTTTTCAATGACCTAAGAAGTTTTTCAAGCACTTTCAATGACCTAAATTTAGCAAAAAAAAAATTCAAGGACTCTCAAGGACCGTGGGAACCCTGGAGTAGCAAAACATGTTTACTAGTAGCTGTACAGAGTGCATAGTCAGACTTTTCAACAAAAAATATTTGTTATCACTTTCCAAAAAAAAATAATCACAATTAGGATTTGTGAGGTAATAAAAATTATTTTCCCCCCATCATTTCAAGTTTTTAAACATAAAATCCAAAAATTAATTCAAAAACTTCACATAATCATTATAAAATAACTAGTTTCTGATAAATATTTCAGAGAGAATTTTGAATATCATGAATTTTTTGAATTCAGAAAGACAGTTGATATGGCAAAGACAAATATTTTTAAAAAGATAAAAAATTAAGCACTTTTTACAAACCCTGAATAAAAAAAAGCACCTTTAAGGGCTTTTGAATAACATTATAATAAAAAAAAAAAGCACTTTTTAAAAATGCTATGCACCCTGGCTGTAGTAGTGATTGGAAAACAATTTTTCAGAGGAATATGAAAGGGAACTATGTCATCTTTACACTCTCCAATATATTTATATGTCATCATTTCTAGTATCCTCAAGCATGAAAAATAAAATATCAAGACAAACAGCATGGAAAATATATCCCCCCTGCATTATCAGAGAGGCAACAAGTTAAATATTGAGGTCAGCAAATAAAAGTGAAACCAAATTTCTTAAAACCATATAGCCTTCAGTGTTTTTGTTGATAAGTAACAAGGTTGTAGTTAATTTTCTAAGATATAAGCATTAAGGTAAAAACAATTTCCTTTTTTTAAAAGTAATATTGCAAAAAAAAAAAACAACTCGTTAACATATTTCTTACAAAGTCTATTTACAATAATATGCATAAACATGGCACAGTTCTCATTTTAACATCTATTTCTTAATATAAAAATAAAATAAAACTTAAAAACAATCACAAATTGAGAAAAAAAAGGGAGAAAAAACTATATATATTTCCCTTTCCTTTACAATATTCTTTTCTTGAATCATACAGTCATCATAAGTTAATTTAATTGCTATTATTTGATAATAATGTAGACCTAAAATTAGATCACTTTTTATAAATTGTTTTATAGCAATAACAAAACTGCATTAGTCTCAATTGCTATTAATAATAATTAAGAGTAAATAATCATTCTCTAACTGATACAGTTATGTCCGTTGCAACTGCCTTTTCAATTAAACAGATGCATTGCAAAGAAAAGAATTTTCAATTAACTTAGGACATATAAAGTTGAAAAAGACCACAAAGCAAAATTTCTTATTAATTTTAAATAAGACTTAAAATTTATCAATGCGTTTTACAAATTTTATGGAGCAGCCAAACATTTTTGAAACTCTAGAGTTAATTTTTACTCACACAATATTTATAAATACTGTACAATGAATTTTTTAATTTGCATAAGATAAATGAAATTACTTCTGGTAATTATTTACAGAATCAAATGCCTAACTTTAGTTCCACCTATAACAAAGCTAATAATATAAATACCTGTAAATTGTTCAGATATTCTTTTAAATATTTCTTGAATGGCAGTTGAATTTCCGACAAATGTAGCAGACATCTTCAAGCCTCGGGGAGGAATATCACAAACAGCAATTTTAACATTATTCGGAATCCATTCAACGAAGTAACTAAGAAAGTATGAAATAAATGAATCGTAAAAACACATAGCTCACAGGATATACCAATTAATTATTTCATTATTAATTCCAGTTTTTACTCTTGAAAACAATATATTTTATTATAAAAATAAGTTCAGTATGAATTTAAACATCAAATTATTTGGATTATTGGATTTTAAAGATTTACTGCCACTAAATAAATTTTAAAAGGACTTTTATAAANTAACTAAGAAAGTATGAAAGAAATGAATCTTAAAAACACATAGCTCACAGGATATAGCAATTAATTATTTCATTATAAAAATAAGTTCAGTATGAATTTAAACATCAAATTATTTGGATTATTGGATTTTAAAGATTTACTGCCACTAAATAAATTTTAAAAGGACTTTTATAAAATTAAAATAAAATTTGCATAAATCTAAGAAATTAAAATTCAATTAACACTTACATCATGTAAGATTAGGCATTAATAATTATCCACAATAATAATAACAATATTAAATAATTAGAAACATTTACTTTCTTATTAACTTCATATATTCAGAGTTTCTGCATAATGCAGAAAAGTTGGCAGCTATGAAATTGACTGCTGATTTTTTCTTAAAATCGAATTTTTATAAATTGACTGTCAATCAGTGTTTTAGACGTAATGATCCTCTTGGATTATTAATTTTAAATTTTATGCTCAATTTCCTCCCCTCTTCCATCACAGTTTGACTCTTTCACTGAACGATTTAGAGACATATCCCAGATATCAAGTTTGATAGGTTGTTAAAAAAACAAACAAAGCCATTACATACATAAAAAATAAAAATGTTTTACATTATTATAACACTTAATGGCCCAATGACATCAAATGCGTCAATCTATTTGATGTTACTTGGTTAGTTCATACCTTTGCTTACAGTGGAGAAATCTTTGTTTACATTCCTTTTGGTGGTTCAGAGTGTGTCAGCAGGAAGCATAGTTGCCAATTGTAATGAATACCATTTGTATTTTTTCTAAGTTGAAAGTCAATAATAATAATTTAATTATATGTAATCTAATCTATTGATAGATTTTAAAATTAGCAAATAACTTGTTCTGGTGCTCAATTTCATTACATCATGTTGTTAAATATATTCTGATCAGTCATTGTTCAGTTGATGTGTACAGTGTTAAACCATGCTTAACTTTTCATTGACAAATTTGATCAACTAAAATTTACGAAGTTCAACACTTGTCAACTTTTGTCTATTGTCTTCAGTATTGCTAATTTAATAACCAGCAGACTCTCTTTGAATCAGTGTTTGATTTCTTTGCATGATTTCAAACATTAGTACACTTTTTTTCTTTTTAGATTACAAGTCAAAATCTCTTCTGAATCAGTGATATGTCACCTTTTTACTTTAAGTAATTGTTTACCCAAGCTGCCAATTTTAACTGTTGTTTTTTCTGTTTTACAGTCCATCTATGATGTTACAACTCTCCAGAACCTTATGATGCCCAATTCAGCAATTGTTGCCTCAAATCATTTTTTTTTTATTTTTTTTAAATATCACATCTGATTGTCAGTAAATCAATCAACTTTGATATTATATTCTAAGAAAATTTTAATACTAAAATTAATTACTTAGTTCAGAGAGATTTAAAAAAAAGATTAAGTGTAATAATTACCTGCTGTTTTTATTTTGCACATTCAACATTTGCTCATCTACTTCTTTCATGCTCATTCTTCCTCTAAACATGGCAGCAACAGTAAGATATCTTCCATGTCTGGGATCACAGGCAGCCATCATATTTTTAGCATCAAACATCTAAAAATTAATGATTTACATAACATCAAAATTGAGAGTATATAAAAACAATGACAATGTTTCAGGCAAAATTTTAGCTTGACAAAAAACCAGTTAAGGAGTTTTTATCACTATGTTTATTTTAATGAAAAACAGACTATTTTTATAAAAAAATTTAGTATTATCTGAATATTTGTAAAAAGTATTGATGAAATGTTCAACAAAGTGTTGATTTGGTGCAGCAAAAAGAAAAGGTACTAACATTTTCTCAGTGCAAAATGTTAAGGGGAAAATATATATTATTCCTTCACCATATAAAATGAAGTAATTATTATTAAAATTATTACCATATTGAAATATTTTTTCATAAATATACCACTAATTAAACAAAAGTTTAAACATTCTAAACTTGGAATTTTTGTTTTGTTGAGTTTACTATTATTGTGAAGAAACTGATAGGATTTATGTGAAAGTAGTGATGAACTCTAATAAAATCTATCTGTATTAGTCTTTGTATGTACAGAAGTTTTTAATTAGAAAAATACTTCAGTAACATAAGAGTGCACAACCTATTTGAGCAAAAAGCCACATGTCCAAATATGCATATTTTGCAAAAATTCTGATTAGAGTTACAGGGCCTCCACTAAGGACTTCATATTATTAGCCTAACCTTAAAAATTTAAGCCAAATTTCAAAATTCTTAGCTAAACCATTTAAGATAAATTCCCTAGAATTTACTATTGTATTAATTTACAATGTTAAAATTCTATCTATAATTTGAATCTCTGCTCAATTTTTCTGTTTATTCTAAACCAATTTTTTCTGGCATTAATTTAATGAATAAAAGTAAAATGCTGAATCTAAACAATTCAAAATTTTGAAATGAAATTTTTCAAAGTTCATATGAATAGATCACGAAAAAGTTAATATACAAATTGGAAACAAATGATAAAACAAGGTCATTAGCTCTTAAATTCTAGATAAAAAAATTTATATTTAGATAAAAAAAAAATTCTCAATATATTTCATTGAACTTTAAGAGTATCTTTAAAGTTTCTTAATGCTTATTTGTAATATATGTCCCAACATATTTGCTTATTTGGTATCGAGGAATAAAATACAAAAATAAATTACTAATATCTTTTCTTTCTATTTATTTTACATCTGAAGACAAACAACTAACACGTCAGCTACCATGTGACATGTATGTCATGCCTCAGTTAAATTTTTCTTCAACATCGTGGCAGTTAACGTTTTACGTTGCAATTACTACGAATATAAATATTAAAAATTTTGAATTCAATAAATGACATTAGAATGAGAAATTTCATGAATCAGTTGGGTAAAAAAAGGCTATATATAAGAAAGAAGACCAATGCCACTTGTGAAAATAATGAAATAATTTATATTGAGTAGAACATTTATATAAATTTTAAACTTGCACTTACTTGTTGAGTAAGTTCCGGAACTGACAGAGCTCTATATTGTTGACTACCTCTTGATGTAAGAGGAGCAAATCCAGGCATAAAAAAGTGTAGACGCGGGAATGGCACCATATTGACAGCTAATTTTCGTAAATCAGCATTCAGTTGTCCAGGGAATCTCAAGCAAGTAGTCACTCCAGACATAGTTGCTGAAACTAAATGGTTTAAATCTCCATAAGAAGGTGAAGTAAGTTTTAGAGTTCTGAAGCAAATATCATAGAGTGCTTCATTGTCAATACAAAAGGTTTCATCGGTATTTTCTACGAGTTGATGTACAGATAAAGTAGCATTATAAGGCTCAACAACAGTGTCTGACACCTAAAAAAAAGAAAAAATTGAAGTTATTTTTTTTATAATCTGTAAAAAAAAATTTCATCAAGATTTTGTTTATGATGTTTGTTTTTTCAAGAAATATTTATGAATGTCTAGTCTATTGAGTAGCAATAGATTTATGATCAGTTATTAAAAAAGAATAAAAATTTTACTTGTTTGGCTTAGTTTAGCTATCCATGTGTCATCTAATATTTAAAAATGCTGTTTCTGAAAGTATAGCATTTTTCTTGCAATTTGAAAATAATTTATTTTATTAAAAATAGCGTATTTAATCCTTAACCATCATATTTTGTTGATACTCTATAGGAATTGGTGGCTAATAGTTATCAAACTGCAAAAGGTTAAATATATCTTCTGACACTAAAAATAAAGTTTGATATTTTAATACATTGATTCTCAAAAATGTTTTTTCATTTTTAGGGAAACTAGGATAAATTTAGAAAAGCTAAAAACAAAATATGAAATTATATTTATTAAAATTTCAACTGACACTAAAAAACTAAATTTAACAAGTTTGTTTTTGTTAAATTAAATTTAACAAAAACAAATACTAAATTTAAAATGTAAATAGGAATTGCTTTTTTAAAATTTAATTACTTCAATGAAAATGTCAACTGATACATTAAAAAATATATTGCATTACAACTTGCTTTAATACTAAATTTAGGGAACACCATTAATACTAAATTTAGATAAATTTCAAAATTTTTTAATTAAATGTAAAAAATAAATTTTGAGTTTCCTTAAATTAATCTAATTCTTTTTTTCTTCTTTGTGCTATAATGCTTTGAATATGCAAAGCAGATAGACATGGCACGCAAAATGTATTTTTAACGTAACATTTGGGATGTGTAATTCTGTATTTAGAAAAAAAAATAAGGCACCAGTAGATTTATGTTTGTGAAATTAAGTTTAACTTTAAAAACACACATACGAAATGCATTAAAAAATAATAATTTTGAATATTAAATTATATGACTCGTTTTGATTTAAATCTGTCCAAATTAGAAAATTTGATTTTAGATATAACTTTTTTCATGCTTTGAAATTTTTTTTTCTTTCTTCTTCTATCTCTGGAACTTTATAAATTCACATATTAATAGTTAAATAAAGAGGTAGAGATTTTATCATCTGCTTAATATCTTAAAAAAAAAAAATTTTTTTTTTTCATCTTGGAGACTTTTTTTTCTAAGTTGTTTTAATTTTTGAATCATTATTTGAAGTTTGAATCTTATGCTTTTTAAATTTTTTACATTCAAGTAACACGTAGTTTTCAGTGCTACTTGTTAATCATACCTTTAGCAAAGTGTCTATGATCTAATCAGCATAATGAAGTTGTACACGTAGAAAAACAATAGAGCTGTGACTTATCTTTAGAAAAGATCACCTGATTTATCTTATAAAGACAATTGGTGGAAAAATTTTCGTTTTAATTTTTATTGAATTAAATATAATCAACTACAAGTCACATTTTGTTCCCTTTAAACATAAAGTATTCATTACTTAGGTACTATAATCAGTGCTCCTTAGTATGATTCCCTATTATTGCAACCCTTCCATTACCACAACCAATACATGAGGTTCTGTTTATTATTTCATAGGTGCAATGCTATTGCAATGTCCATTAGAATGGCTAAATTCAATTGTCCATTCTAATATAGGAGTTGAAATTTGTTAAAAATATTCTTAAATTTTAATAAATCACTCCAAAAAAAGTTAAAACATTTTTGAATTTTCTAAACAAACATTTTTTCTATTGACAAAGACTCAATGGATAGCAAGTCTCCAAGAAATTAATCAAACCACTAGTTTCTTTTGATGTTACCTTTCAATGAAAGGTGAAACATCTTGAATTCTATTTGAATGAACAAAGAGTGTCAGATTCACCTATTTTTATGCTAGGTGGTTCTAGGTATTATTTATGGCAAAAAAGATAGCGAAATATCTTATTTTCATTAAGAGTTAGAAATACTGAATATATACATATACACATACATACATACTGAATCCTCAAAAGGAAATCTGAGCCGCTTTTCGGCATTGCCAAATTACCTTTGTAAAATTCTCTTAAAAGGTTTCAATAGATTCATCAAACTTTTCTTGTCTGAAAATTATCTTTTCTTTTCACGAAATGTTGCAATAGTTTATTTTAAAAATAAAACAAATTGTATTCACAATCTTTTTAATTTCATTTTTTGCTTACTTTTCAGTTCTCTCGACAATGTTATTTAACAAAAATGGCTGCTCATAATGAGCTAAAGAATTAACATATATTGTAAGCATTATTTGATGGTGTAAAAATAAAATAAAATTTTAAACAATTTTTGTGTTATAACTTGTTTTTAATGTCTAAAACTGTCAAAAAACTAAAAAGGAATAGAGGATGACAAAACCATAAATACTGCATAAAAGACATACACATTAATAGAATATTTATTTTCATTTACAATTAATTTATTCTAATTACACTATATTCTAATTACACAACAGAATTTCTAACTGCAATATGAATTACGTTTATATAAATTGAAATAATTTTTTTAAAAAAATGTATATATAATATTTGTAAATATTCCTACATAAAAATAAAAAAAACCCAATCAGCCAAGCAAACTGTAGCACAGAAAATAATTATATTTTTGCAATACACTAAACTCTCGATTATCCATGCTTCACATTTTTTTTTTTTTTTTTTGCAATGATAAATTATATAGCAATTAGAATTGAAAATAATTTCATAGAGATAGAACTATTTTAAGAGTTTTGAGAACATCAATAGCAAACATTCATCTTTGTAGCCCAGGTGCTCACAATTAATCAAATAGTGAACTCTTATCAGTTACAAAATTGATAACTAACAAATGATGGTGGTCCCCACATAACACTTATGCCCCTAAAAGAATGAAGCAGGATCTTGAATAATTTATGGGCCATGTACATAATTTCAGATACAGGATTAATCTAAATCATGTGTTCAGGATTCTATCTAAATCATGTGTTCCAAACATTTTGAGTGTTCTTTTTTCAATTGCATATGTACTTCCATTTTAAAAGTCTGCTTGTGCCTGTTTTATTTTAACTTCCTGCATTCCAACTCCAAGAAGAAAAAAAAAGTTGGCAGGCTTTTTCATGCAGAAATAAAAAATAAAAAAATGTACAAGAAAATGAGAAGAAAACTGCTAATAATAGATATTAAAATTTATAATTAAAAAAAAAAAAATTTGATGATTTTTAAGCATTTAGCAGATTAGTCGCTATTTCGCTTATCCACCCGTCATGGCCCACTCAATTCTGCTGATAATAATCTGGAGTTCTCTGTACATTTCAGGCGTAAACTTCTGTCTGAAACATGGTTATTACCGAGCCATGTTGAAATAAAAAAGTTCCAATTGTAATGCATATTAATAATTTAGAATGTTAAGGTTACATCAGTAAAAATTCTAAAAATTTTGGTAGAAGTTTTCTACAATAATACTTTATAAGGACTAAAAAATAGAAAGAGTTTTAAAATTTTTTAAATATATTTAAAGAAATTTGTAACATAAAATAAATGATTTATTATAAGAAAGTACATAGAGGAGAGCCGGGCAGCCCCGCTCACTTAAAGAGTATTGCCTATATTTCTGTATAATACTGAGTAATAATCAACATTTTTGTATGTTTCTATTGTTTTATCATCTAATTAAATAATGCAAAAAGAATAGTTAAACGTAAAAAAATAGAAATTAAAAAAAACATGTTTTTCAGCTCTTTTCAAAATGTGTTGGGTAGCCCCGCCCAGTTACAAAAATTGTGTTTTTTGGCTATTTTTTGAGGTGTAAATGAGAATGACCAATGTATTGACAATAGATAAACCTCATTTATCATTTTTATCACAAAATTATTTTATTTATTACATATTTATGTACTTTTAGTGAATTCTATCATTTAATAACAACAAATGTCATACTTTTTATCATTATTAATGTATATTAATATTATAATATCAATATATATTTATATTAAATATTTAACGAAAATAATTTAATTTAAGTAACAATAATTAATAACAATAGTTGTTTTTCAATATAAACTTATTTGGTTGATCTCTTCTTATAAACTTAATATAAAATACTTCTTATAAAATTACAAATTCACTTTGTATTTTGATTGCATTCAAATGCTTCTGTAGATTGATTCGTTCACAAATAAGTGAAAATAAATAAGTAAGCAAATAGCTTATCATAATATTCATGATTTCTTGATATTAAATTTAATTTGGATATATCAATTACATTTTAAAAATATTTAATTTTTCATTTTTAAATATATAAATTTATGTTTCATATAATACTCAAATTTGAGGCAATAAAATAATAATCTTTGCAACCGTACATTTATCGACGAAATAAAATTGGGCGGTGATACCCGACATTCATGTGAGCGGGGCTACCCGAAATCCAATTTTTTAAATCAATCCCAACATAATTTATAACATTAATTTACAACATTATTTTTAAATCAATCCCACCCGAAATACAAACTTCTTTCTTTGTGTAAATTAAACTTAAGNATCGACGAAATAAAATTGGGCGGTGATACCTGACATTCATGTGAGCGGGGCTACCCGAAATCCAATTTTTAAAATCAATCCCAACATAATTTATAAATCAATCCCACCCGAAATACAAACTTCTTTCTTTGTGTAAATTAAACTTAAGACTACATACTTTAATGCTGTATGTATAGAAAAAAATATTTTTTTAGTATTAAAATGAAGTTTAATCGAAACATTCAACCAATTTTTCTGAATTTCACGACTACTGTATTAAACATATTTTCAAAACTATTGTTTACCATGTTAGCTGCATAAATACTTGAAACTTTGAAAATAATCTTTTTTTAATACAACAATTAATGTCCGATGGCCCATTGACTTGAATAAAATATTCTATACATATGAAATTGACTGTGGGCGGGGCTACCGGACTCTCCCCTATTCTGTGAAATGTAAACACATGTTTAAACTGCAAAAATTAAATATACGTTTCTGAAGTAAAATATTTGACAAAGGTTGTGTTTGGGCAAGATATTTAAAGTTGGGCTGCTTAACTCAGGGTTACTTTCATGGATAAAATCAATACCTTTAAAATTAAAGGTGGCTCTCAGAATTTAAAGAAATTTTTAGTTTTGCTTTTTTTCCCCCATACAGACAAGGACTTTTTGCCAACAATTTTAATTTTGCCAGAATATTGTCTTTTTTTTTTTTTTCAGAATAGCAACAAATTATGAGAAAAGGTTTTTAAAAAGAAATAAATGAAAATGGATATTTTAAGGACAAATTTCATCTATTACCTTAAAAAAATAAAATAAAAAAAGAACTGAGGTGTTTTGAAACTCATGGGCAAAAATCAGTGAACCACTAAAAGGTATCCCTGACTATCCCACAGAAGAATGCACCAAATAGATAGGAGGTACTAAATGTTATTGACAGCATGTATGCCAAAATTACAGAAACTGCTCAAATGATCAATTGCCTATGGCAGTGTTTCCCAAACTTATGACTTTTGCGTACCCTTTCTAAATTTTTCGCAACGCTGTGTACCACTAATAAAAAAATGGATGCGTTTTTTACTGTAAAAAAATTTCACAAAAGTTAAAAATCACAACTGGCTGTTGACACCACTAATTAATAACTGTTAACTCTGAAAAAAATCGCCAATAGAAAAATATGTAATCGTAAATTTTTATGGCTAGCTTTGTTTTTAAATAATTTTTTTTGAAAATTTCGTTTGTTACAAGATATTTCTCATAAGAACGCGTACCCCCGCTCAACTGTTCCCATACCCCTGGGGGTACGCGTACCACACTTTTGGAAACACTGGCCTATGGTAAAGCAGGAGTTAAACCCATGAGAGAATGAGCGGCCTATGTTCATCACCATAAGTAACCTGTATCATCCCAAATTTTCACTCATGAATTTTGAAATACCCTGTATAATACTCTAAACATATATAATCAATTCTTATATAAAATTAAAGAGTAACATACTTTTGGAGAAGGAACAACAGAAAAAGTAGTCATAATTCTATCAGGATATTCTTCTCTGATCTTTGATATCAGTAGCGTTCCCATGCCGGAACCAGTACCTCCACCAAGAGAATGAGTAAGTTGGAATCCTTGCAAGCAATCACATCCTTCAGATTCTTTTCTTACAACATCCATCACACTATCAACCAATTCTGCACCTTCTGTATAATGTCCTTTAGCCCAATTGTTGCCGGCGCCACTTTGTCCTTGAAAGAGATAAACATTAAGCCAATAAAATTTATATTAATCACAATTATATACCACTGTATTTGGAATTTTCAGATAATACATATTTCATTTAGAAGCAAGCGCTACAAAATAAATTTTTAACTTAAAAATAGTAAAAAAAAAAGTTCAACATTATTTTTATTACTTTTTAGCTGCCAAAAATAAATTAAAATAAAGGTATTAAAACTATAAAAATATCCAATATTAACTTAATTAAAATAAAATTTTGAAAGTGTTAAACTTGTTTTAAAAACAATTACTGAACAAAGATCCAAATTTTCAGGCTTAAAATGTTAACCTTTAGAAATAATATCGTCATAGCATATTTTTTTAAAAATAAAAACAATTTATATACTAATAACTATTATAAAGTTAGCACGAAAAGAAAAATATCTAAAGGTATCTCCTTTTTATATATTGAAAGACATTTATTTCGACCAAATGTCATAATATTAGAGAGTATGAAAATTCAAATATATTTTTTTCTCTTCCTTTCATAGAAAGTTGGTACAGTAATATGCAAATTGAAGTGTTAATAAAAAAAAATCACAAATATTAAATTAAAAGTTCGTCAAAATTTGAAATTTCAACACTCCCTTAAATTAAGAAATTAAACTGCTAAAATCATAATGATGTACACACACAGTTTGCCTTCATTAAAACACTAACTTTTCTTCAGCACAAATAATTAATTCTTTGAAATGTTATGTTTGAAATTCAAATTTCAGAAATTGTTTAATTAGTAACTTTGTAAAGTACTTACCAAAAATAAAGTTATCTGGCCTAAAGAGTTGACCAAAAGGACCAGATCTAACAGAATCCATCGTGCCAGGCTCTAAATCTACGAGCAAGGCTCTGGGAACATATTTTCCTCCTGCAAAATATCTGAAATTACTATCAGAACAAACTAATTAAATACAAAACCATTGATTACTATTAATATCGCGAGCTTTGACTGTTTTTATTTATAAAATAAAAAGATATGTGATTGCTGGAAGAAATTATCTACAATATCTACCCCCTCAATATGCATTTTTTAAAAAAATTACTTAACTTTCTGAAAATGGAAGATAAATAAAAGCATAGCTGCCAACAAGAAAAAATCCAGCAGACTTTACAACATAAAAATCTCATGATAATTGTTACATAATGTACTAAATATTTTACACATAGAGAATTTTAGAGATTTTAATAATCATCAAAATAGAAAAACTGTGGAATTTTCCAGTTATGATTGACAGAAAATATACTTGAAATGTTATGCATTATGCTTACTTACAATTTTGAATAGTGATAGGGATTTAATTAATTAAAGATGGTTTAAAGATCTTTTTTACTTAATTCAAAAAGGGAGTTATGATTAAAAATAAATTGAAAATTTTGGAACAAAGAAAGTTTAAAATTGATTTCTGTAAATGAGGCTTGTTTCATTATGCATTTTCAAATATCCAAGTAATAATTTGTGCAAAAATGTTACTTCAATAGGGTTAGGAAACTCAAAATTTTTTTAGGGAATTGCTTTTATCCTCTTAGCAATAAGTCATTGCATAAAAAAAAGTATTTTAAAGATCGTGAAATCCTTGACAACTGAATAAGATTTATGATAAAATCATTATACTTTTGAGAAAATTAGGCTAATCAGACACATCAAAAATAGGTTGATTAAAAGTACATTTCAAGAGTTGAGTTGTAATAAATAATGTCGTAGTAAAAACACTGAAATTTATGCAGTTTGTATTTTATATTGTTTCGATTAAATAATTTTAATGTAATTGCATTTAAACATTTCTTCAAAACAAAATAGTTGCATTAGCGGTATTGGTGAAGCCTCCCATTTAACCTCGCTCATAAAAATGGCATAAACCTGAGATAAATGCATCACACTTAATAAAATGAAGATAATTTAATGTTCCATAGGAAGGACCCGGTACCATTTGATTTACGGACCAGTCTGCGGCCCAGGGGTTGGAGACCACTGCCTTACATTATATCACTTGTCCAATGGCTTGTTACTTGCTCATATACATATATAAATACACATCTAATAATTCTCAATATTAGCTATAATATGTAAATAATATATATTTCTATCGTTATAAATAATAAACTACTATATCTGTAAGCCCATTTTTCCGAGTGTAAAAACCTAATTTTTACCATGTTCAGGTAAAAACTTGGTTTGTCCCCGATAAAAACCAAACCCAGTGAAAATCACCAGCAATAACAGAAACATTTTTTTTTTTGATATATTGCAGGATTTAGTGCAAATAAAAAAATTAAATTTCTTGTTTTTTAATAACAATGTATGAAAATATAGGGATTTGTCGTAACATCTGATTAAAAATTAATTCTATCTTATGGTAGCTAAATAAACAGGGGGAACTGTAAATAATTCTGTTACAAATAAGAATTAACCAAAATTGTTCTCATAAAAAGTTCTTTTAAAAAAGAAAAAAAATTTCTAAATTTTTTTTTGCCATTTTGGAATTATTTTTTCATGCAATTTTTTTTTTCAATCTCTTATTTTTTAAGTTTATCAAAAGTTGTGTTATTTTCTAACAAATCAGAGTTGAAAGTAGTTACTGCAAGTGAATGAGCAAAAAAAGAGGTTGTGGGTAAATTCCTCATTACGTTAAGTATCAAAATTTAAATGTTAGCAGAGCTGAGAGAAAATTTTGTCAAAATAAAAATTATTAATTGTAGAAGTTTGCTAATCGACGATCTCGAGATTTGTAAACTTAGCACAAGAATCACATGCTTAAAAAATGTCATCTGACAACTTTTAATCATTATTTTAACTGTAAGTTCTTTAAATTTTAGAATAAGACAAATTTATATTTTTGATATTAAACTATGCTCAACATATATATTTATTAAAATACAAAACCTGAAGCTTCATTATAATAGACATCAATTCTCTCAAGTTGAAGATCGGAATCTCCATGATAAGTTCCAGTAGGATCAATTCCATGTTCATCTGATATGACTTCCCAAAACTGAATTAAAAAGATACAAATATTAATATATATATATACATATGGATATAAATACATTTTAATAAGATGACAAAATGTACATAAACTAACCGAACAATTCGATAAAAGTACAATTAAAAAAAAAAGAAGAAACAACCTTAACTGTTGATCTAATGAGATTCTGATGTAATAAGAATATTGATAATTAAAGTTTAAACAAGGGATGATTATATACAAAAACAACCAATGGTCAAAAAGTGATGTTTTTGTATTTAGTTAATTTTTGGCTCTAGATTGAACTAACAAAATAGATGAAAATGGATGGCTTAAAATAAATAAATAAAAACTGAATATTTTTCAAGTCAGAATTAGGTTTATTAAAGAGGCAAAAAATAATTAAAACCCAAATTTACTTTTTTTTTTTAAAAAAAAATTCATTTGGTTTAACCCCAAATTAGACATAAAAATGTACTTGCTTTACATAAATACTTTTTTTTTAATCAGAAAAGCACTTCAATAGTTGTCAGAATTTAATTTTTAGTTTTAAAGTTGTCCTTGAAATCAACTGACTTTCAAAAATAATTTTACATTATTCAATTTAATACAGATGTAAAAAGACTAGGGATTCAGAAGTAAAATTTTTTATCTTGCTTTGAACTATGTAATTTTAAATGCTGAAAATTTGAGTAAGAAATCAATGGAATTGTTTCAAAAAAGAAAAATGTCAGATTTTCTATTTTTTTTTATAAATATTTTATTTAAAATTTACATTGCAGCACTTTCAATCACATGATGTAAAAACTATTAAATTTTATTGATCATTAATGGTTTAAACATTGTCATATTAATAAAAAAAGAATAAAATAGTGTGAAGTTTTTTAAAAACCATGTTTTTCAAATGGATTAAAAGAAAATAATTCTACTTGGGCCATAGGAAAAAAAAACAGGGATAGGTGGTAATTAAAGCTTATAGCAAAAACTGATGTGATTTCAATTAAATGAGCATTAAACAGCCAAGACTAAACTTTTAGGGAGAAAAAAATAATTACATTTAAGGATTACTATGAAAATGTTATTGGTTGGAGCAGATGGCTAATTGAAGCAAAATTTTATTTAATTATTAGTTACAACAGAAAACAAAATTAATGGAAAATGATACTTAGATTTCACTATTCAGAATGGAATAGATGGATGATGTTCCATGCAATAATTACAAACAATATATATTGGAAATAAAATCAAGTGTAGGTAATCAAAACAGTATATTAATTCTGAAATTCATTTTGAAAAATAATAATGCAAAGCCTGAGTTACCAAATAAAAGAATATCATATCAAGGTAACATTTTAAATAATAAAGTTAGAAATAAAGGGCTAAGCCCCACAGGACACATCAGCATATGGAAAAATCAAAAATGCAAGTGGCATGTAGGCCTGGGCAATATACCGTAATACCGGCATTTACCGGTATTTCTTTGATACCGCGGTAATGATATTCGGAAGTATATTCTTCGGCAATACCGAGTTATTGAACTTCGGTATGCCTGCACCTCTCGGTACTCACCGCTAGCCAATATCTTCGGCCGACCGGCGGCGAGGAAGTGGCGGTATGGTATGGTATCTAGGAGGTATTGGTATGGCACGTGATTGATTTAGGGGTGAAGAACTCAAAGGCTTGCGCGTAATATTTACGGTACCTCCTCTCGGCAGCTAGAAATTTCTCCTACAATATATTGTGGTATCATTTGACTTTAAAGCGCATGCGTCATATCCGTGGTATTGGCGATATCGGATTTCAAACACCCGCGCGTTATATCAACCCTCCATGGTATACTTAGTTACTGATTTTGGTTTCATTTTGAGAATAGCGTGCTTCTGATTTTAAAAATATCCGAGATTGTCGGATCTCCTTGTGATGTTTATAATTGTGTTGATATTTATAATTGTTGATGTTTATAATTGTGTTGATGTTTATAACTGTTTTGATGTTTATAATTGTGTTGATGTTTATATTAGTAATTGATGTTTATATTAATAAAATTTTTCTGTTTTAAAATAATGATGCTTTATAATTAGTTGATTCCATGGGATAATTATGCTGCGAGCTAATATAGGATAAGTACCCCATTTTTTTTAAATGATGCTCTTTAAACACATTAATTTTTAATTGCAAAATAGTCTTAGCATTTATAATATACATAACAATTTAATTACCGCGGTATATCATAATATCGTGATATGAAGCTCACAATATCGAAATTCTGACATTGCCCAGCCCTAGTGGCATGTAGATGTTAAAATAGTTTCCAATAAGGAACTCATGCATTGGTTATTTTTAAATTGACAAGGCTCCTTTCTTTAGTCTTATATATTAAGTGTGGACAGAAAAAAAAGGGAGAAATATGTTTTAATGACAAAACATTTTAGAAATCGTGTACTGATTTTGAATTCTAGGAAACTATGTTAGCCAAATGCAGAGAAAATCTCTAAAAATAGATTGATTCTGCACTAGAGTCAAGATTGTGAAATAAAGATTACCCATTATATTTAATAAAAATAGTTAGTTTTTAAATGATAGAAAATATGCTATGAATATTTTTGACTGACAAGGGTTAATGATGGACTAATTTTTTTTACACCTAATACTAAATTTGAATTTTATCTTTTTTAAACTACTAAGTAATAGAGCATTTATACATTTAAGGTACATAGAATTCCTAAGCTACATTGATTTCTAAATCCCAGCAAAAGAAAATTGAAAAGCAGACATCATTTCTTAACCATTGTAAAACATTTTACAAATCCAAAATCAATTACACCATAATTATGTCAACAATTGCTTAATGCAACATTTCAATATATGAAAGTAATTTTAAGAAGTATTTTAATGTAAAAGGATGTTTTGAGAAGATCAGGGCTTAACATAAAAACTCAAAAAGCCAGTGTGTGACTCACTCTCCCTCACAATGACATTTTTCAGATAAATTAGAAAATTTAGCAATGTTTTGTCTACAACGCTTAGTAAATTTTTATCCTTTAACAGGAATTCCAAGAGATACATTAACTTTCGAGGGATATCAGAATTTAGAAAATGCCACTTTTCCATGACTATTGAGAAACATTTTAGAAGCATTGGAAAATTATGCAATATCTACATGGTAATGGGAATATTTTTGTGTACATGCTAATGGGAATGCAAAAAAATATATTTCAATATGTGCGAAGGAACTGTGATAGATTGTTTTAGAGCTTTAAAAAAAAAAATACCCACTCACTCAAAATATAATTTAGTCTACCCACTCACACAAAATATAATTTAGTCTACCCACTCACTCAAAATATTATTTAGTCTACCCACTCACTCAAAATATTATTTAGTCTACCCACTCATTCAAAATATTATTTAGTCTACCCATTCATTCAAAATGTTATTTAGTCAAGAATTTCGTCGCAAATGTAGATTATTTAAAAAAAAATACTTATGGGTGTTAACTGATTTTTAATGTTATTAAATATGATTGATAACTGATTTTTAATGCTATTAAATATGATAACTGATTTTTAATGCTATTAAATATGATAACACTATGCCATCAAAAAACAAGTTTAATTTATAAATGTCGTAAAAGTGAGATTAAGATCAAAATTTCACACACGTGTAAAAACGGAAAGATATTCTACAATATATTTATGAATATGTGTAACAAAAATACATATGAAGTTTAACTATGCATTTAGATCCCTCAATAATTGTATCATATATACAATTTGTTTTTAAAAAAATGTAATTAAAACAAAAGATAATTTTATTTTATAAAATATAATTACTTTGGCTCCAATTTGATTACCACACTGTCCAGCTTGAATATGAACGATTTCTCTCATTTTGAATTTAATATAGGTTTCTATAGGAGATTTCAATAAAGCCTATGGATGATATTCGCAGTTTCCAGTCAATGAACACACCCCAGAAATCTTGAAAAGGAAGAGAGATATGCCGAAAAAAATAAATAAAAGAAATTGCAGTTAACTTAATCTAAGAAAGCAGACCAATCCCAGTTGATGACACAGAATCGGAGTCACAGGTTTGAAATTTCTACCTCATTCAACGAAAGCGATTTTCATTCGCTCATTAAGTTCGGAAATCAGAAGTTTTCAAGTTGCCAAAGAAAAGTAGCTTATTTAAGACAATTATTAGCTGGTGTAAAGCCTCAAAACCGTTTATAACAAGATTTGTTTACTTCTGCTGCTCTACGCGATTTTGTGGCGGTTTAATGAAGTTTTTTAACAGGTCATAGTATTCAAAACTTTTATGAACTTGTTTTGGGATGCTCTTTTTTTTGTACCCCTTTTCTTATAAAATATTTAACTGATTTCATTCAAATTATGAATTTTGATACTGAAAATTACTTAATTTTAACGTCCGCATTTCTGAAGTTTTACATTAAAATTTAATAAAATATTTAAGACTAATTAGTTAATTTTTATTGCTCAAAATTATCTTTAGAGCTGAAGGGAAAGATGAAAATAGTGAAAATAACTTATGTCATGATTATTGGTGGCATGAAAGCCCAAGATGAGACTTGGCCTTCTTCCATTCGGATATAGCCATGGCTCTCTTTTGTTTCCTAATTATTATTAATAACTGTGTTTAAAGGCGTCGTTTTCCGGACAATTTAATGATTTTTGTTTATAAATTTTTGGTTCAAAAAAGAACTTTGATATTAATATCAAGTCAAAGGATAGATGTCAAAATTTCTAAAAACCTATGCATATTCTTAAAAATATTTATAAAAGTTTTTTTTGGAAAAAAAATATTTTTTGCTTGTCGTTCGATATAATTAGCAAAGGTATAGATAAAATCGATAATGATGCAATTATGATATGAGGAGGGTAAAAAAAATTCAGTGTAGACTAATTTTACTTTATAATATGGTCTGTTTCAGTTATAGGCATTGCTCTCCGTTGTTTTCTAATTATTAACAGTTGCTGCGTTTGAGAGGTCAATTTGAGGACACTTTAATGACTCTTCCATAATTTTTTGGTTCAAAAGACAACTTTGATACTAATATCAAGTCGAAAGAAAGGTGTCATAAATTCTAAAAACATATAGATCTTCTAAAAAACATTTATAAAGCATGCTTAAATTTTTATTTTATTTTGTCCTTGTCACTATACACGGTTCCCGCGGACTTTGAAAATTTTAAAAAGCGGTAACAAAAACAAAACCAATATCGATATTTTAATTTTTTTGTAACCACCTCTGAATATTATTTTCCAAAGAAAGTATATATGCATGAAAATTCCTGCTTCTAATCCATAAGATATTGGCTGTTACGCGGCCCAGGTGCCCAGCTAGCCTAACTAAAGAAACTTCTAATCCATTTGACGATTAAGTGGCATGTTAAAATAAGAAATATCTTTTAGCATTAACCTAAATTTACTACCACTACTAAAACTTTTCAATGACAGCGGGAACCCTGTATATAGGTGTCGCAAAAATCGATGATGATGCAAATTTAAAATGGGGCGAGATATAGAATTCTGTGTAGCCTAGATTTAATGCATACTATTTCCTACTTCGGTTATAAGCATTGCTCTCCTTTGTTTTTTTTAAATTATTATTTAAGTAGCTGCTTTTCAAGGGGTCATTTTCTGGACAATTTAATGATTTTTTTAAAAATAATTTTTGGTTCAAAAAAGATTTTTGATATCAAGTCAAAGGATAGGCGTCAAAAAGCATATACATATGCTAAAAAATATTTATAAGACATTTAAAAAATTATTTTGTCCTTTTCTGTTATTGTCATTTATATTTCTGTTATAAGCATTGCTCTCCTTTGTTTTCTACTTATCATTAACAGCTGCTTTTGAGGGGGCCCTTGGGTGGACACTTTAAATTTTTTTATATTTTTTTAGTTCAAAGGTGAACTTTGATATTAATTTCAAGTCAAAAGGATAGGAGTCGAAATTTATAAAAACAAATACTATTAAAAATATTTATAAAATTTCTTATTTTGTCCTTGTCACTCTACATAGTTAGCACAGGTGTCACTAAAATCGATGATGATGTAAATATGTTATGAGGCTTGTAAAAAAATTCTTTGTAGTCTGCATTTACTGTATACGATTGCTTTATTGCGTCATTGAAAGAATATAAATTTGCAGGATGGTGTGCTCAATTTAGGCATAAAAAATTCTGAGTACCCTAGACTTAATGTTTACAGTTTTCTATTTCAGTAGTAGATACTGCTCATCTTTTTATTCCTATTATTATTAATTTTTGTTTTTTAGGGGGTTCTTTCCAAGACTATTTAATGATTGTTATGTGTAATTTTTTGGTTCAAAAAGGTACTTTGATATTAATATCAAGTAAAAGGACAGGTGTTAAAATTTCGTAAAACAAGCATATGCTAAAAAATATTTATGAAACTTTTAAAAAAAAAATACTTTGTCCTTGTCACTCTATATAGTTAGCACAGGTGTCGCTTAAATCAATGATGATGCAAATATGTATGAGGAAGGTTAAAAAAATTCTGTGTACCCTATATTTAATGTATACTATTGTCTATTTCGGCTATAGGTATTGCTTTCTATTTATTATTAATAGTTGCTAAAGGGGGCCATTTGGTGGACACTTTAATATTTTTTTTCAATAATTTTTTGGTTCAAAGGAGAACTTTGATTTTAATATCAAGTTAATGGATAGGTGTCAAAATTTCTAAAAACATATACGTATGCTAAAAAATAATTTTTTTTACCAGCAATGGTGGTTACGAGTAATTGATTACTTTGCAGTAATTATCAGCAATCAAATACAGTTGTAATCGATGCCAAACTCTGGTATACATACATTAAAAGTGTACATTATAATCATAATATGAATAGACACGAATATGATGATGAAAAAAGAAAGACGCCATCAAAATTTGAAGAATAATTAAAGAGAAATTGACAAACTTGATTTTTTATAAAAAGCAATTACTAGAAGCGCATTTAAGTTTTGTCCGGCAATTAAACTGGGACTTATTTTTTAAATTTTCCTTCTTTCAGGATGAGTTGTTAGGCTAAATTTCTTTTTCCTCTTCTATTAAATAATATTAATTTGTACCCCATCCCATATTACTCATAGCTTTTTATTTCAATTTTGAAAATAACTCGGATTATATGCTGCACCCTTTTACTGATATAGTTATTATAATAAACTTTTGGACCGAGAATATGGTCAATATGTCAGAATTTCCCTTTTGAAACATATGAAAACGGTGAATTCCAATTTTTGGTCTTTTGTATTTTTTTAAACTACATAACTGAAGATCAAGGGAAAAGAATGGTTTACGTTCATGAATGTTGATTCTGAGAAAAATTGGGTCTGACAGAAATGGTTTTTTCCCACCATGGTTTACCTTCACTGTTTAATAACTCTCGGAAGAACCAATTTTCAATGTCAATGATTTGTCAAAACATAATAATTTTTAAAATGCCACAGAGGGTTATCCCATCGTACTTTTATGAAAAATGGACATTAACAGCTCTTTCCCTTTGATCTTCAACTGTTGTCAGGTCAGTGTTAGTCAGTTAAATTTCTAAATTATTTTAAAGATAATTTATAAAAAAAAAGTTATAGATTAAGTGAGAAATGACTAACTTCAACACAGATAATATATTTATTATTCCACAGAAAATAATAAAATTCATCAAAATTTGAAGTGTAGAACCAATATCCATTACTTTTCCCTAAAACAATTTATAAATGTAACATGATTTTCTTGTATTCAATTTCTACAAAGAAAATGGAAAATAAAAACAAAACACTTGGTTCTGTTACTTTTTCGAATCCTTATATTTCTGAAATTGAAATCAAGAATAAATGTAAATAGTCAACAATATGTAGTTTTTCAGTAAAAAGTTATTAAAATTATTTTTTGATTAAAATAATCATAATAAAACTTGTTCTACAAAATATTAATTTTATAAACCATAAAACTTTATGAAAAATATAGAAGTATAAGGAATTGCATGATAAATAAATTTATTTTTAATATTATAAAACATCATTGAATAAATCATCATTTGAAATTCAGTTTAAATGAAACAACTTAGCCTTTCTTAACTTAAATAAGTAACACTATTATTCAGTTTTTAAAACAATTTCAACAAGCAATTTACAAAAAGCCAACAACAATAAACTCTAGTTTTTAACTCGGAAGCAACGCCTTTTTAAATTTTAAGCTGCAATAAAGCAATGAGTTAAAGTACAATGAGTTCACGAAATACATAATTTATCTATTTTTATATTGCCAATAAAATAAACCTCTTTCTATATGTTTTTTTTACATAAGTACACGTTCTCCATTAAAAGTTCTCTAAACTTTAACTTCTCTTGTTCTTAGAGTGAATTTTTTTATTGACAGCCATCGCATTATTTTATATGGGACGGGTAAAATTGGCTGGAAATAGACCTTTCTCTCCAGTTGCTTCTTTCATTCCCATTAACCAGCCTTCCTCCTAAAATACAATTAATTATAATTAATAAGAAACAATTGATAACAAATAGTAATGCAAATAAAGAAAGCGTACCACTTTGTTCGATTTAGATTCGTGGATCGCATAAAACATTAAGAGCGAATGCTAGGTAATCTGTAATCGTCACCTTAAATGTGTATATATTTAAAATACAGGGTGTTTATATAGTCCCGGACCCATTTTGATGCTTAATAACTCATAAAATACTAAAGATATATTAAAATTAATGACATAAATGGTTAGATAGACTCAAAAAGTTTCATGACCCTTGTCAATGAACTTCCACGTGTGCCCCCTTTGTCGCACGGAGAATATCAAGTCGATAGTCAATTTCACGCCAGGTAGCGGCAAGTGTTATGAGTTATTAAACATCAAAATGGGTGTTTCTAGCACTGTTAATGTCCATAATGTGCTCATATGGGGATCTGAAAACCCCCATGAATACCGTGAGACACAAAGGGATTCCCCAAAGGTTAATGTGTGGTGTGGACTAACGCACGACCGAGTCATTGAGCCTTTCTTCTTTTACAGAAAAGACGGTCTCTTCAGTGGTATACTTATCTTATACGACATGTTGGAAAACTTCGTATTTCCCCAACTAAAAGAGCTTTCAGCCACATGTCTTTTTGCATCAAGATGGTGCACCACCTCATTGGGGTATCATCGTTCGTAGTTCTTTGAATGACCATTTTCCAGGAAGATGGATTGGGCGAGGAGGTCCAATTCCTTGGCCACCCAGATCACCTGATATAACGCCGCTGGACTTTATTCTTTGGGGTTTTATAAAGGACAATGTTTACAGGAGGATCGTGTCGAACATTGATGACCTTAATGCCAGAATTATAACCGCAATAGCCTCTGTGGATGCCGACATGCTTGCCGTTACCTGGCGTGAAATTGACTTTCGACTTGATACTCTCCGTGCCTAATTTCTCTGAAGAAAAAAATCTAATTTTACTTGACTAGCTTAGTTGATTAATAATTAAGAGATGAAGGAAGAAAAACGTAATCAGTACTAATTGAATCATTAACAATGAAAGAAAGCTTATTAGAAACATTAAAACCTTTTTTATTTCCGAAGAAAGCTGAAAGGAGTTAAAGGCGATTATTAAAAAACATCTTTAAGTTTCATTCTGTAACAAAACTGGCTTTGATGTTTTTAATCCTCACTATTCCATCGTTAGACTCTAGTAAAGCATTTATCACCTCATCAACTAAATATTAATCTGAGCAACCTAATCTGTATTTTTTATATTATACATATATATTACATACTTATTAACTTTTTATGTAAATTGGAGGACAATTGAAAGAGTCGTCCGGACTGAAGAATGCCGTTTCAGAAAGCTCCATTTGTAGTTACAAATAATTACATCTACACACGTGCCAAATTTGTCAGTATGTCAATATGATAGAAAGTTTATAGAGTGCTTGTAATGTAATTAAACTGATGATACGCAGGACATGGCATGGCATAAATTTCAGTAAGCAACTAATGATGATATGGAGAAGAAAATCCAATGAAAAAATAATTTAGTTAAACTTGCCGATAGGAAAAATATGGCAAAGTGGCTGAAAACGCATGTGAAACTGAAGTATGCAAATGGAGAAATTAAGTTAATGACAGTAGCATCTGATTTTAGGTTACAAAGGGGTTACTTAAAGTCCAAGGTCTCTCTTGGTAAACATTTCAAGAGAAATTATATGCTCAGCGGTGAAAAATTTTGCACAACGTAGTATGCAAGCAAAAATTTGAAACTGAAACTGTTTTAACGTAATGGTGACCGGACTAAAAAATCACGCAAGACAAAAAACACTATGAAGTGTCATCTGTAATTATATCTTCATGCACGATCTGTATCCACATCTTTATTCCTTATGCATTATCTATGTCTTCATTCTTTCTTACCCTTTGACGATGAGTGTATTTGACAACATCTCATTGCATATATATATTTTCTGTTTATTCATTTTTTTCTTGCACGTAACATTTTCCCATTTTTGTGGTCCCTACTTGCATGTTTCATTTCATTTCAGCTGCAGCACCGCATATCGGTGAGTTTTGGATGAAACAAACTATTTTCCCGCAATCTTTTCTCCTATACCTAATTTGGTGCAGTTTTGATTTTAATGTTAGATTACACCAACTATATACCTCAGAGTAGGCTTAGTTTACTTATAAAACATCCTGCTTTACGAAACCTCAAAATAAAAATAAATAAAATAAATAAATAATTTTGTTTTACCTGTTCTTCTAAGTCTTCGTATTCAACAACACGTATTATATCTCCGATTTCGAACGATAATTCATCCACATCTTCCCCTGTATATTTGTAAGTAGCTCGAACCTATAATAAAGAACAATTTCATGGTTACAATATTTATTGCAATAAAATAAATAAATGAATTCTAGTAGATGAAAAAAAAAAGTTAAAAAGTAACTTATATAACTTATTTTCTCCATACTTTGAGTGTCACAAATCTGAATTTGCCAAAAAAGGCATGTTTATTCAGAAAACATTACGTTTACAGTCTGTTTTCTTAACTTAAAATTTAGCCTGCTCATTTTACGTAGCATATTTTAAGAGTTTCTATTTATAGTTATTGCATCTTAGTTCGTAAAAATCCGATTATTAAGGCAAAAATAAAGTAAGCTGTGTCCATCCCGCACTCTAACTCTCGTAATTTCCTAGCACAATGAATGGTTTAACCCCATGCCAGTGTAGCCCGAAACCACTCCAGACTGAAAGTCCGGGGTTGCTTGTTGCTATGGTAACAAGCAAGAGCACATTTTTAATGGGGGTGAAATGTCGATTGGTTTACTCACGACGACCTACGCTAAGACTAAGACAAAACGATTCACCCTACACCCCTATTCGAAGTGACCTTTCCTCGTAACCATAGTACCAGCCACGACGCGAGATGGGTGTCTGGAGGAGTTCTCCTGAAAGCCGCACTATACTACGTGCAGTATTTGTGATGCCCAAACTGACTTCGGGCAGGAGAAAAATTAACGTTTCTATTTTGTGAAGCCCGAGCTGAGTTCGTTTCTGATTTAGGATACTTAATTTACTATTTTCCTATGTACTGTAAAGGGAAAATGTGGGTGTTGTCCATACTGTACGGGGATATACCATACTGTGAAAGATTTGTAAAATTTATGTATTGAAAATCATATTGTTCATATTGTTGTGTTTTTATATTATATTATACTAGTTATATTATATTTAACTTCAATAATAGATGACATTAGTGGTCCTAGTTTTTCTACGAGTACGACTTCAGTCGAGGGAAGGAAAATGTGGGTGTTGTCCATATTGTAAAGGGATATACCATACTGTGAAAGATTTGTAAAATTTATGTATTGAAAATCATATTGTTGTGTTTTTATATTATATTATACTAGTTATATTATACTTAGCTACAAAATTATGTTTAATTTGCTCTAATTGAATAAGATGTGTGTGTAATCCATTACTTTTTTATGTGTATGCAAAAATTATAAATACAATATTTATTGCATTTAAAATTTTCTTTTTGTAATAAAAACCAATTTCTATCTTTTATAATAATATAAAGAACAAAATTAAACAGTCAAAAAATTTTTCTATTTTTGGGGCATTTTTTTGAAATAAATGTCACTGTTAAGGGGTTGAGAACATTAGTGGCAGATAAAATTTTGCAGGTGTGGTTTGATAAGCTTCTATTCTCAGAGTAATTAAATGCAAGTAGAGTGGCAATCATTGAAGTTATAATGCTAATTTTGATTTTTTAAACATCAGTTTTTATACTTCGAACTGACATTTCTTTATTGTTTATCACCGAATTTTACGGTGAATTTATTTGTTCGTGATTCTTAATCCGAAATTTTAGTTTGAATTTTCATGATCGGGTATCAAATTCTGATAACTCTTAGATCGTTTATTTTGGACTCAAAATTCAAGGACATTGAATTGAAAATTGAATTTTTGTGTCTTTTTAATTTAAAAGCTATATTTAAGAAACACTTAGGAAGTCCACATTCATATCAGTAATTTTTGAACACTATTTCAAAACATTTTCAATACCATACGAGATTACAGACAGAAGTTTGGCTTTGTAATCTGAAGTTTTGTTACTTTGGTATCAGAATTAGTAACAACTTAAACCCCATTGTACAGAATATAATATATCGAATATAACAAACAGTTTGAAACGGTTTCTATATAGATCTTGAACAGCGTTTCTTAAAAACCTCGAATCATTGAAGTTATAATGCTAATTTTGATTTTTTAAACATCAGTTTTTATACTTCGAACTGACATTTCTTTATTGTTTATCACCGAATTTTACGGTGAATTTATTTGTTCGTGATTCTTAATCCGAAATTTTAGTTTGAATTTTCATGATCGGGTATCAAATTCTGATAACTCGAATTGATTTTGATTTTGAATTGATTTTGGTAATAGTTCTAAAATATTTCAAAAGCAATTTAAGTTTTAACATATTGTTTAATTTAAAATTGTACATGCATTTTTTTCTCTTTTAGAAACCATTTTATTAACTGTAACAGTATTTTTTGAGCAAGAAACGCATGGTTTTAAAATATACAAATTATAAGAAATTTAGAGGGTAATTTATTTTAATTTTAAAGTGAAGTAGATCTGAAAATAGCAAAATATTAAGCTTATATATTACTAAATGTAAGTGTATTGAGATTCGTATTTAATGAAAAACTTGGAAAATAGTTAAAATGCTCATTCAATTCTGTCTCTAGCTTAAACCGAATTGAAGATATAGTACACAAAAAATTAAAAATGAAGAAATAACTTACGTGAATTGAGAAAATAATATAAATTAAAAACTTATTCAACTAGCGTTGATTATTTAACTTCACAAATCCTTGTTTCATTTTCAATTTTCTTCATTAAACACTTTTTACATAAAAAATTTTATTGCCAGTATTTTAGATAGTTATATCTATATATTTCATATAGTTTCAGTAAGTTATTATTTAGAGTTTTATAATTACTCTGCAAGACTACATTTCAGTGTTTATAGTAAATTCGTCTGTGAGTCTTTATAATTGTCATATTGAGTCATTTGCTTTTAATACTTAAAATTGCTATTTATTATTTCTAGTATTTTTTCATTCTTTCCGAATTATTTCTATCGTTAAGTTCGAGAAAAAGGATCAAAAATACCTCGCTAAAAGAGTACACTCTAATAAATTTATTATATTGCACGACGCACACTAATTTCTTCGTTAAATTCGGTATCTGGTTAAATGTGGGTTCGTTATAAATGGTTCCCTGCTGCATATATTTTCAACCTATTAGAAAATTTGATTTTATTACAATTTTCATAGCCTTCACGTTTATAAAATCAGTTTCACCGTACCGCAGTTAATCATTTTATCCAGCAGAATTGAGAAAAAAAAATCTTAACTTCAGCTTGACACGAATCTGAATCGTTCAACTATTGGAGAGATTCCAACTTACTGTTTTACAGGTGCAGAAAAGTTATCACTTCAAAAGTCTAGACAAAAAAGAAAACACTTCTGGAATTAGAAACTAAGGAGAATTTTCGCCTCAGAGTAAAAGTTGATATGCGAAACAAAAGGAGAGAAAAACTCTTCCTTTTTCATTTATGTCTTATAATGAATAAAATATAATACATAAAAGTAAATACTTAATAAAAATTATGAAATATATTTGAATCTGTTGATGAAAATTAACTATGATGTATCAAAAATGGGTCTTCTTTTCAAATTTCAGATTTTCTTTTCTTTCCTCGGCGTTCACAATTTCATCTGCTCATCAATTTCAATAGAATTTTTTTTTACGATATTTTAATACAATATTCACTTGGCTGCTCATAGTAAAGCTACTTCTATTCAATTCTGTATCGTAAAAAATGGTAAAATGTTTTTTTTTTCTTTAGAACTTTGTTCAAAAACAAAAATATTTGATCATAGTACAATACCATGAAAAATATACATAATTTTTGCTGAAATGGATTAAACAAGTGCATCAAAGATGTCATCAGGAGATAATTCAATGCACTTATTTATAGCATTGGATCTGGAATTTTGGATAAACTAACCAATAAATTGCTATGTATAAGGGCGTGATCGCTTCTAAATGATGTTATTTTGATTAAAAGCAGATTTAAGACAAAATTCTGTTGTTTATGCTAAATTGTGTAACAAAATTTATCTTTTGGCTTGAGCAAAAGATTATTCATGCAAAGTTTAATGTCACCAGTAATGTTTCCAGTTCACCAGTTTTTTCTCTCCGAGCACTACTGCTTACAGTAATTTTTTGCGGAAGGTTCTAAAAGTACATTATTAGCACGCAAGAATAATTTTTTTGATATAGTTAATTTAAATTTCGTTTTTTTCTAAACAGCCGTGATATTCTTTTTATTTCTATGACCGAGCGTTGGGATGATTAAGTCAACTGCTAGAATTTTCATTCTAAAATTACGGTAAAATAACCGAAAGCAGTCTGTCCATCCAAAGAACCGTAAAGTTTACGGTAAAGAACATTTTCTACCATTAAGGTTTTGAAACCGTTTTCCACTAGTATGGTAAAAACCTTAATGGTAGAAAATGTTCTTAAAAAATTAATACAAAATTATACGATAGATACAATATTACCATTTACAACTGGCATGGTTTCAAAACCGTAAAAATGAAATTTAACAGGACATTCTAGCTTGGCTTTGTATTAGGTAGTGGATATTGGAATTAGGTAATAAATGAGTTGTGTTTTATTAAATAAACCGCGGAATGTGGTTTAATTAATTTATCTGGTTGCTTCACCTATCGTCAGACATGGTAAATACTAAACTTTTTTGTGTTAAGCAGCTTTATGGTGCAGCTATCTATACGTGAATGAGCTTATCGTATTCTAATTGTCCAGGGTCACGAATTGGAGAGTGCAAAACGCTAGAAACTCTTCATATGTTGAAGGGAATGGAGGAAATATTGCGGTGTCAACGCTGAGACCTGAATCTCCGTTTTGTCCGTCACGATATTAGCTCTCTCGGCTATAATATTTACACTGCTGTTACGAGCTAAGCGGCTGCATTAGGTGAACCTAGTTGGTGCGATAAAATTCTAGTTGTTTAACCGTATTAGGTGAAAGCGCATAACCGTTAAGCGTTAACCGTATAAACGGTTTCGCTCACAGTTAACAGTTTGAATACAATCTTATTTATGATTATTTGACTGTTTTGTTTGTATGTGGCAAAATAGCAATTAAATAAACTTTATTTAACCATTTTATCAGAGAAATTTCTAACAATGTAGTTTTTTTTATCTTTCAGTCCGACAATGAGTTGAATTGATGCTTACAGAAAGAAAAGGTTTCAGTACTCTAACTACTTTTCGAGAAAACTAAATAGAAAACTATTTTATGCTTACTGTGGAAGATCTTAAATAAATTATCTTCATGATGTATTGTGTAGACCACAAATACATCTTTTTAAAAACATTTTCATATAAGTTCACTGATAGACCGTTCATCTTTCAATAAAGTTATCCAGATTCGAATCCTAGCGATGGCTGATCAATTCGAATTCCACTCATGACGCGCCCCGACCACAGTGCTGTCTTAAATATCCTCAGTGGTAGACGGATTTTGGGTTAGAGTCCATTCGCCATCTGGCTAAACCGTGGATGGTTTTCGTGGTTTTCCTTCCTATGTAACGCAAATGCGGATTAGTTCCATTAAAAGTACACCACGATGGCAAATTTCTTCTAATACTTGATCCAGGAGTTCCCTTGTCGTTTGGATTTACAAGGGTATATAGTTGAACATTGGTAGTAGTAAACTCAGAATTGGATCAGCTATTCAACGCCGGTTATAGTAAAAAAAAATGAGAGCAGTTCAAATAAATTTTAAATATTATGTTTTATTTCCTTTACAACTGGCATCTTCTCTAGTTAGATAAATAGAGAGAGATATAAGCAATTATGTTTAAACTTTGAATTCCATTTAAATTAATCTGAGAGAAATGAGAAAATTTAAAAGAATGAGAAGTTAAAAGCTATATTATTCCTTAATTTTTAATTTTAATACTTAACTGCTCTTAATTTTTGGTTTCTCTCTAGTTACTTGATTTAACGAGCAAGGGTTAAATAATACGTTGTACATTTTCTTACCAATGATCGTTTAAGTAATTAATGCTTTTTAAAAAACAAAAATAATACTTACCCTGTACAAAACTCCAGCAGGTAAATCTGTGGTTGTGGCACCTACAGGTATGTCATAAAGCTCATCAAGTTTTTGATCCTTAGAATCTCCCATTTGATTCAGCTCATTCACCTTAATATGCGGGTAAATAAATTTGATGAACATTTTTAGATTAAGTAGTGGATATTTTGAGGTATCATTAATTTACTAAGATAATCTTACCTCAACAGGCTCATAATCTTTTTCAATTTTAGCTGGCTTTCTCAGAGAATCTCTCAATGTGTTGTCTGAATTCATGGCATTGGTCTGGGATACAGTTAGAGATATGTCTCTCTTTTTATCTAAACAAAATTATTTATTAAAACTTATATCCTGATATTCAGCATTAATTTTATATTTGCTTTAATTTTTTTAAATTATGATGAAGAGGACGAAAACTTTTTGAGAAAACTTAATTCGTAGTTTATTAAGGCTCATTTCATTTTCACTCGCAGTAACAAACAATGCTCTTATTTTTTTATTCACACGAGCGTCAAATCACAATTTAAATTTCTTTCCCTACATGTATAAAATTGTCAATTGATGTAAATATTGTACAACCGTTTTTTTTTAAATATTTATATTACACTTATCAAATAGAGTGTATTGCCTTTATCAAATTAGACAAAAGTTCACAGATTATACATGCATAGGTGAAAACAGCCCACAGACATTCATAAACAACATACGTCATTATTTTATCCATGAAAAACACCTACATTTATGCAAAATTCATATTAAAAAAGGGACAAACAGAAAATATTTAATAAAATTGTAGAGCGCCTCCCATGAAGGGATTAAAAGAGCTTTTTTTAGACGCAAATTACTGTTCATGTCCGGTTAAGAGAGTATCTGACCTTGAAAGGAAATTTATAATGGTTTCATAGTAGATTGTCATGGACTTTGGAAATTCTTAATCCTTAATATGAGGTGTCCGCCTAGGAAGAGAGTTCATAAGGGGAGATTAAATTGTACTATAGCACAAGACTAATTATATTATCTTTTAGAAAAGAATATAAAAAAAGAATAAGCAGAATATAGAATATAAAAACCGAATATAGAATATAAAAACCGAATATAGAATATAAAAAACAGAATATAAAGAAAGAATATAAAAAAATATAAAGAAGAATTAAAAAGAATATAAAAAAGAAAAAGGTTTATAAAAAAGAATAGGATTTAAAAGAGCTTTTTGTAGACGCAAATTACTGTTCATGTCCGGTTAAGAGAGTATCTGTCCTTGAAAGGAAGTTTATAATGGTTTCATAGTCGACTGTCAAGGATTTTGGAAATTCTTAATCCTTAATATGAGGTGTCTGCCCAGGAAGAAAGTCCATAAAGGGAGATTAAATTTTACTATAGTACAAGACTAATTATATTATCTTTTAAAAAAGAATATTAAAAAAAGAATAAGCAGAATATAGAATATAAAAACAGAATATAGAATTTAAAAAACAGAATATAAAGAAAGAATATAAAAAAATATAAATAGGAATAAAAAAGAATATAAAAAAGAAAAAGGTTTGTAAAAAGGAATAAACTCTAATAATACTTTTTTTGTAAAAAGAAATAAATTTTGTTTGTTATAACATTGTTTACTTTACTATTTTTTAATATATTTGTATATTTAAAATGAATACTTAATTACAATATTTTCAGTTAATGCAATTTTATTTTATTTCAATAAAAGCTTAAAAACAAACATCTTGGTTTCGTTAATAGTCTATTCAATACTGTAAGATTATTCATGCTTCTTTTGCATTTATATTATATTTTTCCTACTTACCAGATGGTAGAGTATTAGATGAAATGATTTCTCCATTAGATATATGTCCTGACATACGCGCTTGACTTTTCCTGAACTCAATTTCTTCATAATGCCTTGTATCACCATCACTAAATAGAAATTTTATTCACATTTTGAAAAAACAATTGCAACGTTTTTTAAAATGTTTTATCACATAAATACTGTTTATAAAAATAAAACAGAGTAACTAGAAAAATATTAAACCTGAATAAAAAAATAATGATTTTCAAAACTTATTGGAAAGGCAAGTGGTCGAAGAAGATGCATGAAAAAATTAAGTTTTAAAGAAATTGTTTTTAAAACCCATTGTGAAGAAATTTCTGGGTGATAGGTGATTTTTGATGATTGGAGCATTTCAATAATTTTATTTCCACTGCTAACATTTGTCTCAACTTCAGCTGACCCTCAAAGCTAGGAAGAAAAATTTCAACCGGTTCTGTAATTTAATGAGTTCTGTTTGCTTATTTGTGTAAGAAGAACAAGTACGCTAAAAAATTGGTATTGGCTAAGATTTGGAATAAAGTTGTTGCAAATAATTGCGTGTTGGCTATAAGCTGGGTTAACAGTTAACTTCACTACGTCGCAAAATGAAAATATCTCATGTTGTCCATTAAAGGGAAGCAAAGGCAGATGTCAAAATGGGCAAATGCGACCAAAAGTAATTTTGCATAGTTAATCTTAAAAAATGTATTTACTTTGGATAACTTTTTTAAAATTGTATAAGAATAAAGTGCTCTTAAAACTGCTATTCGAGACCGTTTTTAAGGTTGAAGCTTAAGTCGAAATTATAGAAGTTTTATTTAATTATTCTAATTAAGACAAAATTTTTTTTTGTTAAATTAGTAGATTGGAAAATATATATATTTCTTGAATGCACAATAGTAGCTAGCTTTTTCTTTCTTTCTTTAAATTCTAATTTCCTAATGTTAGAAAACATAGCTACTTCATCCATTTGACCAGTCGAATAAGAAACAAATAGTTTTTGGAACAAAAACGTTTATATGTATAATATATGTATATATATATTCAAATTTGGTATATAAAAATAGATAATGATAAAAACAGCACCAAGTGAACATAAGCATTTTTTAAAAAGAAAAATTCATGAAATATTTTATTTATATAAGGTTTGCCGAATGGAGATGTGGACTAGTGTGATGATAGAGGAATCAGAAATACAGCAGCGATAGCAGCGATGTTATTTAGGGTCTTATAAATCAAAACGAGCGCAACGTAGATTACTCATAACTGTTTGCTGAGTTCACTTGAGAGCATTTCAAGTGAATGTAAAGTAGTGCTAAGATGGAAGCTTCCAGGATAGAATAATGCTCAGTAGTTAGCGTTGTTGTAGAAGAAGAATATTGAAACGTTTGTTCAGATGTATTTCTGCATAGGTATCACCAGTCGGAAATCTTCGATTACTTCTAATCGTATCATCATCAGTAGTTCTGCATTCATTGTAGTTCATGGTGTTTTCTTATACTGGACCTTTTGTGTAACGAATGTTACTCAAAGCGTTCGGGTTTTGTAAATAAAAACAGTTAAGGAAATAGATTTTCTAAAAAATGTATTAGATTTATTGGTTAACAAAATTGGATTGGTTAATTGGCTTACAACTGGCTACTAAAATGATATTTTTTTGAAGAAAATAAGACAATTTACATATCTCTGGCTAATTAATGAACAGTTTCTTTAACTTAATTTTATGAAAATGCAATTACTTTGGTTACTTTTTATCTAAATTTTGATTATCTACAGTTTTCGTTAGAATACATAAAAATAAACAGGTAATATATACAGTTAGAAAATTTAAAACATTAGCAATATTGTAGGCCTTCACTCATTCTGCACTAGCTGTCCACTTATACTTATTACTCTTTCTGTTAACAACAAATAAAAAATAGCTTTAAAAATCGATGTTTATTTTACGTAATATGTGACTATTTAACACAGTAACGCTCAATCCCTTGCTATCAAGGGTTTAAGTTAAGCGAAATAGAACACATTACGATAGCAGTCATAACAAATATTTACATTATAATTGCTCAATTATAAATATTTAATTATAATAAATGTTGAACCATATTAAATATTTATGTCATTCTATTATACAAATAATTTAATTTCTCGTTAATAAACTATAACATTCGACAAAATCGTAAATATTTACGATCCAAAGCGTATTTCTTGAAGAATTTGTTTATAACGTAAACCATTTAACTACTAATATTAAAAGATTAAGATACTATTTTAATCAGGGACACGATTATAAACTATTTATTTCTAAGAAATAAAAATTCTGTCATAAAAATATTTTGAATAGAATTTTTAAGCGTTCGTATTATCGCTACATTTTTGGAACTCCTTCCCCTCATAAAAATTTACATCTCAGAAGCTAAGGTACTATTTTAAAAGATATGAATAGAAAATATTCAAGCTAGTTAAAGTTCCATGCTGAAAATATTTATAATAAATGTTTTTTCTGTCCATTATCTATAATTTAGCATCACATACTAGCTAATATTTCCGCATGAAAAACTTTCTTTTTTACTTCCTTTTAAGGATAATTTTATTTCACCAAAAAACATTATTGAAACAGTTATAAAAACAGTCATAAGAAATTTACAGCTTAAAAAAAGAAATAGATATTTTGAAATAAGACGCATTACTTTAAAAAAATTATAAAATAAATTATAAAAATGTAATAATGTTAATTAAATTATAAAATATAATAATGTGTTAAAAATTGTCACATATTCTTAAATCATGTTATGTAAAGAATGGTAAAAGTTTAGTAAAATAATAGTTTACAATATAAAAGTAATAACTAAAAAGATAGATTATAGTACATGTAGTAATACATTGGATCATTTGCTGTGAAATAAGCTGAAATTATTGCAAAATTAATGTCTTTTTGTATGCTGAACCATGAATATATACATTATATATGATTTATTATATAATTTAACTTAATTATAAGATATTTGAAGATTGTATTTTTAAACATTTTCTTTATGCATCTTTGAATCAAGGTTAAAATAATATATATGAATGCAATCAGTTAATGTTTTACCTTTTAAGGATTAAAGGCGAACCTGGCTTTCTTGTCCTGTATTTTCCCTTTTGGTTTTCTAATGAAAGGTTTTCAACAACTTCTGATAGTTGGTTGAATATTTTGTTGTTTTCATTGTGAAATTGGCTTTCTGATGTGAACATGGTTTGCAGATTGGTTACTAGGAATGATATCCGGCTAAAAGCATGAATTGGCAGATTATTACACTATTACAAATATTACATAAAAAAGTATTGTAAATATTTCACTGCCCAATATTTTATTAACTAAACTCAGCATCATAATAGGAAAATAGAAAATAAATATCAGTATTATATACAGTGAAAAATTCTTCAAAAAATAATCTTGTTTCTGATCATTTTCTTGCATATGTATTTTTGATACTATACAGGTAATACTATACAGCTTTATTGTTTTTAAGCGACTGAAACCGGTTTGCTTTTGTTTACGTTCGTGTATCAATTGGTTAACATTGTAATGCAATACGTTAAAAATAAATACAAATAGAAAGTATATAAAAAATCTCCTGAATAAAAACCCATTACATGCATAATTTTTTTTTTCACATTTTCTTAAATTTTGCACTTTTGCCTTTATTTCACACGAAAGACATTTTACTAGTTTGCCTGAAGTATTTAATGTTAGAAATAATAAATATTTCAGGCAAACTAGTAAAATGATTTTTTTTTTAATTTTGCTCTATTACTTTGATTACGTAAAAAATGGGTAAAGGATAAATATAAACGTTCTTACAATAAAGAACAAAAATGTAAACTTTTTTGTGTGGAATAAATATAAACGTTTTAATTGTGTTTGATATGCGTGTGTATCAGAGGTAAAAGACACATTGTGGCAAAACTTTCAATGTGGCAATTGCTCAAGAGAACCAGCTGATTGATTCGCTTTCAGTACGTATCATGAGTTCTCAAAGTATTTAAACAAGGTATGTTGAGGAGTACTTAAATGTATTATAATTTTATATAGATAATTATAACATAATTATGATAATATTTATCAAAACAAACGAGTCAGTGTGATTCCACCCTTTTTTTTAAGCTTCGGTCTTCTCTTAAAACTAGTGTGAGAATCATGGTTCAAAACTAGGTACTTCATATTATTTAGTTTCGATTGCAATATATTCCGAGTAAAATATTCAAGCGGATAGATATTGAAAGAGCTTAGCGACAAATTTATTTTGTGGCAAAGGAAAAAAAAACTGATTGTATTTGCATTAGCCTTGAATAATGTTCGCTGTAAGTGAAAAAGAAACATTCTTTTCAAATTGTGAAAAAGAACTGTCTTCAAAATTTCACGCGATTTTTTTTTTTTTTTGCAGGTTCCGGACCAAATTTTAACAAATTTTTCAACATAATATTCTCTTGGAGAAAAAGCTTCCCAAACTATTATGAAAGAAGGGTTTTGAATTGCAGGCACTGATTTATTATTGTTCCATTCTTCCGGTTTCCATTCTCTTCTTTTTAATAGCAAGCGATATCCGATGTATTTTTGTTGTTTCAAAAACTTTTTATCAAACACAGAGTAAAATTTCGAATTAAATAACGGTAAAATTTTGCCGAAAAAAAATTTACTTATCATAATTTTTGTACAGTAATATTTACTGAAAAATCACTGAACCACTGCAATTAATGAAATATTTTATATATCTTATAATCTTATATATATTTTAAATTAGATATTATATATATTTTTAATGGCAAGCGATATTCCGTACAGTTTTGTTGTTTCAAAATCTTTTTATCTAACACACTGTATAAAATTTCGAATAGCGGTAAAAATTTTTTTATTTATTGTAATTTTTTTACAGTAATATTTACTGCAAAATCACTGAACCACTTAAATTAAATAAACATTGCTGCAAAAATTACGATAAAAATGGATTTTACGGATGATGCACCCAGGGTGCCATTACTTTTTACAGTAATTTGATCCGGAATTTCTTACAGTGTACTTCATAAAATTCAATGTAATAAACTATTTGACACTAAAAGTTTTTTTCGACTGTTACGGTATAAATTTTATATACGAACTTACATGGTACCCTGCATTTTTTACTGAAACTGAACTCTTGCATTAGAACTAAAAAATAAAATTGAACTCTTGCATTGAAACTTCTAAACAAAATTTACATACTGAGCTTTATCTCCAAAACACTGGTATTTTATTGAACAACAACAAAAACATAAATTAAGCTTCCCTGTCAAATAAAGAATATTGATTAATTAACTGCAAAAGTAGAGCTTGCCTGTCGTATAAAGCTGGTAGTTCATCGTGAAGTTCATTATTTATAACCTCATACATTTTTCTGGCTTCATCTAACCTTTCCTTTGCCTGAAATAAAGACGCAGAGTTATAACATGAAATTACATGTTAAATAACAAGAGTAAAAGAAAGTTTGCAATTACTTTTCTGAGAGTAGAATACATTGATTGCGTAAGTAGCCAAATATTTCAAGAGTTTATTTATACTTCTTAATTCAATAAATAACTGTAAAACAAATTGAGCAAAGTTTAATATTTTAGACTTTTGGCTATTGAATTAAGTTGAGATAAAACTAGAGATGTTGGCATTTTGTAAATAGGTACTAGGAGAGTCAGGTACAGTGGCAGCCGATAAATGCAGACCAGAACAAAAAATGTTTCACGAGGAATAGCTTTTGATCTAATGATCCTATTTTTACAAACTAAAATTTAATCTGTATGGTTTGAGGGAAAAGATTTGCTTATTGATGCAAATCACAATTTTGTCTATGCAATCAAACATAAATTATACTTTCTTAAAATAAACGTACCTTTTCACTGACAGATTTTGATTTATAAGGGTATGCGCACACTAAAATATATTGAATCAACTATTTTGTCAGAAGGTAAGTTGAAAATTTTTTGTACCAAAATATTATCTTAATTTTTTATTGTAACAAAAACTTATTTTATTTATAAAATTCATTTTATTTACAAAATTAATTTTATTTATAAAATTCATTTCATTTATAAAATTCATTTTATTTATAAAATTCATTTTATTTATAAAATTAATCTTATTTATAAAATTCATCTTATTTATAAAATTAATCTTATTTATAAAATTTTACCAAAACTTATTTTAATGACTCAAAAACTTATTTAACGATAATTTCTGGCAAGAGACAAATTTTAATATTTATTTATTTATTTTCATTATTGAATTTAATATTGATACAGAATTTTCGGTTGCAATGTATAAAAGTTTTTATATCCGCTTAGATTAAAAATTATGAATAGTAAAATCTTAAATTTAATCAAAATGAATTGCATAGTTTCTGAGATATTTAAGAATTGTTTAATTTTGCCGACTGCACTTAAATAATTATTTTTAATAAATGCATAAACTAATGCAAAATTTTACGTAATTTAAACGATTTATTTTTGCGCATCTGAATTAAATTAAATATTTCAGTGATAAGTCCTAAATTGGAATTACTTAATGAAGGAAGAAATTGTATATTAAACTTAAAATATTGAAGCTATTAATTATTAAAAAAAATACTNAAAATTCATTTTATTTATAAAATTCATTTTATTTATAAAATTCATTTTACTTATAAAATTCATCTTATTTATAAAATTCATCTTATTTATAAAATTCATCTTATTTATAAAATTTTACCAAAACTTATTTTATTGACTCAAAAACTTATTTAACGATAATTTCTGGCAAGAGACAAATTTTAATGTTTATTTATTTATTTTCATTATTGAATTTGATATTGATACAAAATTTTCGGTTGCAATGTATAAAAGTTTTTATATCCGCTTAGATTAAAAATTATGAATAGTAAAATCTTAAATTTAATCAAAATGAATTGCATAGTTTCTGAGATATTTAAGAATTGTTTAATTTTGCCGACTGCACTTAAATAATTATTTTTAATAAATGCATAAACTAATGCAAAATTTTACATAATTTAAACGATTTATTTTTGCGCATCTGAATTAAATTAAATATTTCAGTGATAAGCCCTAAATTGGAATTACTTAATGAAGGAAGAAATTGTATATTAAACTTAAAATATTGAAGCTATTAATTATTAAAAAAAATACTCACGTTGGAAGTACGATTTTTTGACAATGTGTATAAATGGGTGTGAAATAAACGAATATTGTGTAAATATATTTATCGTTGTAAATTTTGTATACTTACGTTTTGTATACTTACATTTTGTGTATTTACATTTCCAATAATGTCTCGTAATCATATTTCATGATTTATCAAACCTTATAGCAAAACAAGTTTTTATAGAGTTCTATATTAAAATTCTAAATGATGAGAATATTTTCTATAAAAATTGATGCACAATGCTCTCACTTACCTTGAGTTTATCTTAGTTGTCTAAAGAGAAATGTAAAAAAATAAAATTAATACCTCTCAAGTTTGATCCAGTAAAGAATGGAACATTTAAATTTTGCGTTCTTTTGGTGCACAAAGAAAGCACCATCATGAATAAAATTCAGTCTCATACATGACAGTTAATATTTTGATTTTGTTACTTAATTTTAATTATCTATAATTTGTGAGAGTTCGTGGTTAGAGTTTAAAAATATAATCTATCTCAAAGATCAAATTTATTCCTATTAAAGGATTTATGTTTTCAGCATTTTGTGTTTCGACATTTAAAAGAATAAAACTTTGTGATAAGAATGATAATTCAAGCAATTTCAAACGAAGATTTCACTTTATAATAAGTGTGCTAAAATAAAAAACAACTATGTATACTCTCATAATTTATGATGGTTTATTTAATTATTTAAAAAAGAGTGATCCGCGGATTCATTGAATGCATGCCTTATGGTGCAAAGCTTATCGGTTACTCAAACTATGCTTTCATATAGTACTTACTGTAGATTCTGTTTTGATTCTACATTAAAAAAGTTTAAATGAGTTAAAAATTTTATGGAATAAATTAAAATTTCTGATGAGATATTTAACGAATTCTGGATTGAGTAATTTTTAATACAATCATATCAATAAAATTTTTCTGCCTATAATGTCACTAAAATATGTCATCATAGTAGTGTACAATTATTTTTGACTTCATCTAGTGTTAAAGTGTTGCTGTAGGTTGTTGTAATGCAACATTTAAACTATATATTTTTAGATTAAATGTTTCTGATGTATATTTGTAGATTGTAACTAAAAAAAACTACTTTGATAGTCTTTTTCAATAAAAAATTTTAAAAAAATAATAATAAACTGTAATAATATTTTATTCACATTTTTTAAGATGAGCAACCATTAAGTATTTTCATTTTGAGATGTATTTAAAGAGAAAGCTATAATTGAAAGTCAATGCCGCGAACTCGATACTTTGAAAATGGTAAAAATTCGGCAAAAATTTGCAAAGACCTAATTAATTGGCCTACATATTAGATGTGCTCATGATTATCATTCTTCTAGATATCGCAGGAAAAAAGAACGAGAGAGAGACTTAAAAATAGGCAAAAATAATGAAAAAAAGAGATCTATTGATTGGTAAAATTGACATTGGCTTACTCTCTGGCTAGTTGATAGAAATTTTAGCTATAAGTTCCGCCAAAACGACGTCACACGCCTACAACAAATTATGAGCTTGTGCAGTGAACCTGTTGAACTTAATACTAGCAATTTTCATCGCCCCACCAAAGAGCAAGTCTGTTAACTTTCTTTACATTATAGAGCTCTGTTGGCGACTTTCATATTGCTTATATTATGACATATGTAGCAATTTTTTTTTGTAGCTAAAATCACTCATGAACTTTGGTATGTAGAAATTGTACAAAAAGCTTTTAGAGAGCAATGATGGCTCAGAGGATAGAGCGCTCTTCCTCCAATGAGGTCGACCGGGTTCGAATCCCAGTGATGGATGGTCGATACGAATCCGCATCCGGCTTGGACCGACGATAGTGCTGACGTGAAATATCCTCAGTGGTAGACGGAACTTAGGTTAGAGCCCTCCTGCCGTCCGGCTAACCGTGGAAGGTTTCTGTGGTTTATCTTATCATGTAACACAAATGCGGGTTAGTTCCATCAAAAAGTCCTCCACAAAGGCAAATTTCTCCCAATACTTGATCTAGGATTTCCTAATATTCTGGATTGGGTTCAAAATTACAAGGTTACAGAATTGAACATTAGTAGTCATTAAGAAACAAAATAAAATAAAAATCTTTTAGAGAGGTGTGATGACTTAGGGGAAAGAGTGTTCGCCTTCCAATGAGGTGAACCGGGTTCGAAGCCCAGTGATGGCTGGTCAATACGAAGCCCGTACCCCCTTGCATCGACGACAGTGCTGACGCGAAATATCATCAGTGGTTGGTTTTCCTCTCCATATAACGCAAATGCTGGTTAGTTTCGTCAAAAAGTCCTCCACAAAGGCACATCTCTTCCAATACTTGATCCAGGAATTCCCTTGTCTTCTTGATTGGGCTCAAAATAACAAGGCTATGGAGTTGAATACTAACAGTCGCAAATCAAAATATTTGGTCGTTTGATCAACGACATTAGTAAAATAAAGTAAAATCTTTTAGAAAATTAAATATTTTAACCCTTATTTTTTAAGCATCGAGCAGTTATCATATATANTTGTACATTCTTAAATTTTTAATTTCTTAAATCAATTTTCATACTAACAATAACAATTCAAATTTTACTTAGTTTTTTAAAATAGATATTTAACGTAAGTATTTCATACTTTACCTTTCCAATTTTCATTTCTTCTCTCTTTCGGTTTGGCTGTTGTAGGGACTGTAAATTGTGCCGACACTTATCATAATCAACAAGTTTCCTTCCTCGTTTGGCAATTTTCCCCTGAAATAATTAAATATTATGCTAATATTACTGAAATGACGCATAAATATTTTTTTTGATTTTCAATGCTTTTAGCACATATTTTTAAAAATTAGGTTTTGGATAAATATAACAGAAAAAACATCTTAAATATTTTGGAATATAAATTGTAATTTAATAAATTTAAAAAAAATGTATAATTACAAAATTTTCATTTAATTTTACTTTTACTAAGTTACAGTCGTTAAAAATAGGTTTCCTTGTAAAAAACATTTCGTGCAAATTTAGATTAATCTGGTTTCGACATGAGATCAAATTAATTTTAATAATTACCTTCTAATTGCCTTTTAATAATGATGCTTTCTTTAATTTGTAGTTGAGCAACATTTTAAGTGAAAAAAAAAAGTAAATAATATAAATCTTTAAAAAATTTTTTTTTTTCAAAATGAATCTTAAAATCACATTTTAATAAAGAATTTAAAAAATTTCGAAAGTGGAAAGTTTTTTTTAATTAAAGTTGCTGAAATAGTTAAAAAAAAAGTTGATATAGGACCTTAAAAAGTTAATTTTCGAAATAAGTTAATTTCAATGATTTAAAAAGTTTGAAGAAATAATAGAAAATTGGAATAAAAAAAATTCCAAGAGAAGCATAAAGAGAAATAAATTATTTTGCAGATATTTATATTACAATAAATGTTATATTTAATATGACTTAATTTAATATTGTTACTTAGTTTCTGCAATAAAATAGTAAGTATGGGTATAATATTTGTGTATTCGTTTTAATTACTTTTCTGTTTCAAACTAATGCAGTCTAACTAAAAATAAGTTCCTATATGAAAGAGAAAAGAAAATATTTTTTGCCTAGGTACTTTTTTTCCGGATTTTTAATCAATAAACAAAACCTACAGAACAATTGCTTCCAAACGGTTTTAGGAACGAGAATATATTTACATCATTAGCTTGTAAACATTTATCCATAATATCAGTACATTGAACTAGAATTCGGTGCAAATTAGTTGAAACATTATCAAGGAGTAAATTTGAACAATGTTTCCTTTGAAGTTGAATCATATTATTCTTTAATTAAGTTAATGAAGTTCGATAAAAGAAGTTCAACTTATTACCATAATAAGGTTGCAGTAAAATTTGAACGATATTATGGTTCAAAACGATCAAAAAATTTTAACAGTATAGAACAGGGCTGTCCAACTGCAAAGAGCCTACGGGCCAGAATTCCGGCCACTGATCACCTGGCTGGCCGCAGTTTGAAAAAGCTGAACAATAACCTCTTACCTCTTATACAATAACAATTAATAGTTGAATTATTAATTATAAAATAATGGAACAGAAGGATTATAAAGCAATTTGCTTACATTTTAATGGGAAAACAGAGGTCGATCAACCTGAATAAGAAGTTGGCGGGCCACACAATATGTGTTGGCGGCCGCATGCGGCCCGCTGGCCGCCAGTTGGACAGCCCTGGTATAGAATAAGTGAAAGCTATTCTTCAAAAGTTGGTTATGGAATTCTTTGAGTAAAGCTTGGTTGATACCAATTATGCTTCCTTCTAGGAACGCAAAATAATAATATTTCCACCATTCAATGTTGAATCGATTTTTTCGAGAGTATTTTGAGTCATAGATATTTATGGAATTCAATTTCAAATAGCATAAACATGGAAAATGCTTCACAAGGAGATTACATATTTTTTTTTAAAGAATCAAATTCCAATCAATATTTCTGAAAAAAGTTTCGAAATAGTTAAAGTTCTTAAAAAAATTTTACTTTCAGTTTCAAATCATATTATTATTTTTTCTTTTTCTAACGGCAGGCACTGAACTTGTCTTTCTTTGTCTCGGAAGATGCCGGAAGTGCTGCTCATTTAACGTCACCCAGTGGGCACCTGTGAACCTAAGTCACGGAGGTGAGCAACATTACCCACGCCACACTGCCACATATACCCGTTCATAGGGTGGACCACATTCACACAACAGAGGATAACACACAAAGAGAAACATCCATGCCCTGAGCAGGATTAGAACCCGCAACCATTGACTTGGTTGTCAGACATAGTTTTGACTGTAAAATTAATTGAAAATATTTTTTTAATCGAAAAAAAAGAGAAAATCCATAATTATGAAAATGAAAAAGTTCATACGGTAATGTCATAGAACTTTAGCGAAGCTTATTAAGACTACGGTTTTTGCCCTACAATTTGAGCTACAAGATATTATCAGCATAAAAGAAAATAATTGTTCAACGCAAAAATAAGTAAATACATTTAGTCACAAATCTTACCCTTATTTCTGGAAATTGGCTCAAGTAAGTTGCAACTGGTACTCCAACTTGGTCATTAAGTTTGTGACAAAAATCATCCCAAACCATTTCAAGAACCTTTAAGATTTAAAAGAGTTAAATATAGTTTAAAAATTTTATGCTTATAAACAGTTAAGAAAAACAAAGTTTAGAAACCTGTGTTTTAACTGGAATTTGTTCACACCCGACCCAGGATGGCTCATACATTTCCGTCAGTGTATCCATCAAGCTTTTACTTGCAGCTTGCATAGCTGAAATTGCATAAATATGAACTAAAATATTCACAATCAAATAGGCATCAAAAATATTGTTCTTAGTACTATAATGGCATATTCAGGAACTGCTTAAAGACACTNAGTTTAGAAACCTGTGTTTTAACTGGAATTTGTTCACACCCGACCCAGGATGGCTCATACATTTCCGTCAGTGTATCCATCAAGCTTTTACTTGCAGCTTGCATAGCTGAAATTGCATAAATATGAACTAAAATATTCACAATCAAATAGGCATCAAAAATATTGTTCTTAGTACTATAATGGCATATTCAGGAACTGCTTAAAGACACTGATTTTTGCAATATATTTAAACATTATTATTTCTTGGATTGAATCTGCCTTTTTCAATTTTAGTCTCAAATTTATAATCAGCTTTAAACCTAAATTTTCAGATCTTATTTTTGGGTGTAAATAATAAAAAATAGTGCAGCAATTTTATTACAGAATGTTCAATTTTAATGATGCATTTAAAAGACAAATGTTCATGACGCGATTTCAAAATATTAGTCCAGAAGTGTTCTTTTATTTAAGCACTGGAAAATATTTCTAAAACCTTAATTGTGCTAAAACAAAAATAAATGAAAACAAAACTTCTCCAAAAATCTAACAATATCAGATCGAAACAAAATATTACAAGATTGGCTTGAGATAGAAAGTTACCCTTTTTATACATTTAAGACAATTTTTCTTTTGCATTTTAAATAAACATTAAAAATTTTATTCCTAGACAATTTCCTAAAAAAATTTATAATTGCCTAAAAGTCACTCTCCTGTCTTGTCCGAAACATTTTCTTAAACCTATTTAATTTATTTAAAATTTCTACACCAATATTTCAATAATTAAGGTAGTATTAGTAAACTACATATTTTAAGGTGTAAAATAATATTTTTTGAATCCGCTCAAGTATTTAAGATTTAAATATTAATTTTTCTATTATTTTAAGAAAAAATAGAAATTTTTTTAGTCCTGTACCTGCAACACTGTTTATTATCATCGTTCTGATGGGTTGATTGAGTGCTTTGAAGATTTGATTTACCTATTGTTATTATCATAGCTTTGAAGTTCTAAACTGAGGTGTGTAACAGTTTTTGCTATCATTCTCCTGTACAACAGTTTTATAACGCAAGAAAGAATTTTGTAATTAAAAAAATAATGCATATTATAATGTTTGATGACTCTTTTGTTAAGTGCCTCATAAATGTCAAGTATGACTTTTTTTTAGAATTTTAAAGTACTCTTAATTTTTAAGAATATGTGACTTAAAAAATGCTAAGTTTTTGGAAAATTGTCCATGTATCAATTATCAAAACTACCTGTTTCTTATCATTTTACTCATAATATTCTCAAAAAATATTTCCAGAAGCTTTATTTTAGATACATTACAAAGAACATTTTTCTTTTTTGATTCATACTTATATGAAGTAAAGTCATCCATATGAGCTCTGATAATTATGCCAGTCAAGAGGATTAAAAGCATTTCTTATGTTGTAAAGCTGGGAATACTTTTTAGAAAAAAATAATTCAATAAGCAGAAAATAGTTCGAAAGGAATTCGTATTATTTAGTAAATAAATAATTTCAATTCAATATATATTTTTATCTACATTAAACCTAATTTATATATATTAGTGTAATTTGCTTAACAATAATCAAAATGTATTATGATATTTAAGCTAAAATACTCAATACATTTTTAATAACATATATATTTAATTCAATAATATTTAATAAATATATAATTTCAAATTAATGACATTTAAATAATTTAAGGAGCTGAAAATGAATAAAAAAAATTATCATTATTTGCTTCTGTATATTCATTAACAAGTAATTAGAATTTTAAATATCTAATTTAAATATTTCTATCATCTCATACTAAAGGAAAATACTTTTAAAATAAAGATAAATTGTTATTAGAAAAAATATTTTTTAATGTGTATTATTTTATTTTAATCTATGGTTCGTTTAGGAAACTAGATAAAAAATTTTCTTAAATTTTTAAAATTAGTTGCTAAGTTCGTGAACATATTGTGCTACTGACTGCAAAAGCAAGTAAATTAAATTATCAGTTGCATGCTAAACCATTCCAGCTGAAATAATCTGATGAGTGTGCCTGTTAATCTTGTCCTTAGACTGCTCCATGTTGTTACTGAAATTATTGATATCTAATAAAAACTTTGTATTAGGGAGACCGAAAAGTAATGTCGTTTCGGCGCATTATATATTCGTTGGTCTTAAAAACCAATTCATTTTTTTTCAATCTGGCATTGAAAGGTTGCTGCTAACGAATGTTAATACATTATTAATTAAAAATAAAATCTTGATAACAAATATCAAATGCGCCGAAACGATACTACTTTCCGGCCCACATAATACCTAACTAGAAATTTTGTTGGGGAAATTTTCGAGTTTTCTAAGCAAAACGAAGCAAATGAACATTTCTAAATTTCCTTAAATGTATTTTTTTTTTCAATTCATTTTCTACATCTTCGATCATTTATTTAGAACAACTGTTATTGATATTACTTACCCCTGGCGCAAGACACATAATTTTTGAATTCCTTGCTTAGTCTTTGTGCTGAAGCCTAGAAATTACAAAAGAATATGATTAATTTATAGAGTTATAAGAGAACATTTAATAAAAATTGATAATAATTTTTTTATAAAATTGTTTGTAAATCTTATTTAGTTGATATTTGAGTATCACATTATAAGATTTAAGAAAAGGTCGGAAAAAAATTAGTTTTGAAAGCTTCAAAGTATTGAATGAAAACCTTTGTACAAGACGTCCAAATGGTTACCTAGAAAGAATTAAAAAAGGAGTATTTTTAACTTCCCAATTCTTGAAAATATTCAATCGATTCTGTTTAAATTTTATATCTTGCGATTTATTTGCATAAGTAAATTTAAACATATTTACACATAGAAGAACAAACTTTATCGATCATTACCAATTTAAATAAAAAGAAATAATTACTAGTTTTGAATACTTTTTACTTTGCTGTACTTTTTGAATAAAATTGTTTTTCAGAGAGTGAGTTTTATAAATGGGTATTCGAATAAATGGATAATGCCATAAATGATTATTTAAAAGTACAAATCATAATTGATGAATCTTTAAAAAAGAGTTAAAAATATTTAAATCTGTCCTTGAAATTTTAAACAAAATTTCAAAAATACTTTTCTGCTTTTCTCAACTATTTGAACAATTAATTCTCCTTTCAAATTCCTTTTGACAACTAAAATCTCCTTGATGCCTTTAATTTGACCTTTAAGTTTCCCATTTAATAAAAATTTTATTTCATTTTTTAAACTAATTTTTCGAGATGCCCCCCTTGCAGTCTTCTTTACCTCATTTTTATCAAATATTTGAAAAGCGATGTATGCAAAGCAGCGAATATAAAACGTATAGTGTTCAAATTTTCAATGCCTTATATTTAAAAAGTCAATTGGCTTTTGCGCAAAATATCTGGAAATGTCATTTTGAGTATTTTCTAAATTTTCAAATTTTTGCCTCTTAAAAAATGTTGAAGCAATCGTCATAAATGCAAATAAATGGAGCACCATCGGGTGAACAAGGTGGGTAAGGCCAACCAGCAATTTAGTTAATTTTTCCCTGTTATAACCCTTTTGAAACTCAAAAAGCATACAATGCTTAATTTGTGTACCTCTTCTTGTACTTAACTGAGCATTTTATCACAAATTGCAACAAAAAAAAAAAAAAAAAAGGAAAGAAAAAACGAAATGACTAACAGATATCGATATGCGCAGGAACGACTCAACTTTCGGTCTTTCGAAAGTACAACATAATTAGAAGATGCTACAGTTCTTTTTTTTAAAAAAAAAAAAAAAATTTCGTTAAAACCTTTTGAACTTTCGCTCTCGGCTGATAAAAGTATTAAACCTTACGCAAGCCATATCTATACATCTGTACCTTGTGCACCTAACGCAAGTTTGATATAGTATTCCATTTGTACATTGCCACATTTGCAGTAAAATAAAAAAGTATTTAAGGTTTCTTAGGCCATTATAGTCATGCATTGGATGCACTATTATACATTCTGCTCCCAATTTTTTTAAAAATATTTATAACCATTTTATAACTTATAATTTATAAGTATCAAACTTTATTTAGCCTAAATAATTATGCTTGCCATAAAAAAATTATTAAATTGTTACTTCAAATTGAATTTATTATGTTTCGAAATTAATTCCTAATTAATGCTCAATTAAAAAAAAATAAAAAAAATTTAAGTATTAGCATTGAAACTATAGTTTTTAAAGCTTTATAATTCTATAACCAAAAAAATATATATTGTATATATTAAAAAAAAAAAACCATTTCAAATTTTCGCATTTTTGTTCTTAACCCCGAAGTTAAAGTAAGGATTAGCGAGTTACACTTGAGGTACTTTCTTACGAAATATAAAGCGTCTATTTTAACTTTTAAACCAGAAATTAAATTCCTAAATACCTAATTTAAATAAATTGGCCAATTTTTTCAGTATGAATAAAAACAGACCATTTCATGTTCAAAGACCTAATGTAACGACTTATGTTTAGATAATGAGTGTTTTATTAAAAATTAGTATATTTCTTTCTTTAAATATTTAAAATTAAACTTCAAAAAACTAGATAGCCCCTTATTTAACTTTGCATATTATATCTTTTCAAGGTCAAGCGTTGATCTAATTATTTTCCAAGAACATGTAATTCCAAACTGCCTGCAGCATTATTCCACATATGATTCTATTTAAACGATGGGAAGATAATTACATCGGTTATTAAAACAAATTATGCTATGCTATAGAAGGAAGCAAAACAAACCTCCAACAGCTGCTTATTTCACTCGTCAGTTTGGTCATCAACAGAAACTAACACAAGTTCCTATTTATAATACATTGAAGGTCGTGAAAACCAAGCACGGCAAGGAAAAAAGAAAAGCAGAAAAACATCTTGCCGTTATAAAAATTTTTATCACGTACGAAGTTAAGGTTTGACCACAATACTGAAGCATTGAAGTGTGGGTTATGCTATCATCCAAGAAAGGTGAGGTGTTAGTCACGTGCCAACAAGAAGTTTGTAGACTCGTTTATGGGATTTTTCTTGCATTCCAATTCTTGAATAATTTAAGCGTAGGAATGAATGACTCTTCTTATCCAGAGGTTACTCCATAGTTGAGTTTATTCAAATATAAGGCCACAATGGAGGTGAAGTGGATAAAGTAATAATTAAAAACTAAACTGCTACGATAGCTACATAAAACATAAAAATAAAAAAAATGGTAGCACTTTAAATGGAAGTTAAAAAAAATCTTCGAATTGAATTGAATTTTATGATACTGCAGTTCATGAAAAATCATGAAAGTAAACGTAGGGGTAAATTTTTTTTTTTTTTTTTTTAAAGCTAGAGGTTGCTTTTTGTTCGTCCGTTTAAATGTAAATTAAAATACATTATGATTCATGAAGATGCATACGGTTTCAATGCACTATAAATCAAGAACAATATTACCTGCAACATAATTGTATGGATTTATTTTAATAAGTTTTGTTAAAGATAGTCGAAGATGTTCCATGCGTGATGCCTTAGTCGCCCGACACATATCGAGCCGGTAATCAATTCCACTCGAGACATTTATAGTGATCGATTCCGCTTAGTTTTCCTCAATGACACAACATTTTCCGTAAGGTAAACAAGCATAATGTTCTTTTTTGTGAACGGAAAATCCCGAATTCACAGAGCAACACGTACGAGAGACCACTAAGATATATGCGTTCTGTGCAGTGTCTAAAAAGAAAGTGTTTGGTCCTTCTTTTTTTAGGTGTAAATTGTCACGGGAGTCACTTTTTTTGGACATGTTAACTCTTTGGTTGATGACATAGTTGCATGCGATATTGACACCTTCATTATTCAATTGGATGATGCACCTCCACACTGGTCGGTCTACGTGCGAGATTACCCTGTTAAATATCACTCTCACCAATGGATTGGACGAGCTGTGGACTACAACATGCCACCTGCCTCATGGTTACCCAGAAGTCTAAACGTAACACTTTCTGATTTCTTCTTGTAGGACTACGTAAGGGACAAGATATTAGTCCTTTCCCTTCTTCATCTTCCTGTATTTATATATATATATATATATATATATAAACGTTACTTTGTCAATAAGCTGTTTTCAATATGATACTCGTGTTCAACATGCTCAATTCCTTTATGATTGAATAATTTTGTCCAAGAAAATATTTCATCATTGCCTTGTAATTATATAAAAAAAATTTTATTGTAATTATAAAGACCTTCGAAATGAAAGTTGGCTTATAATTTTTGTAAAATTTTAGGTAAAGTTAGTTAGGTTTAAGTTTTGTCAACTTAGATGTTATAGTTTTGTTAATCCTGAGTTCTTTTTTGAAGATACAAATCATTAGGTGGATACAATAATTAACAATATGATAGCTGAAATTAAAATTATTTCTAGGATAAGAATTAAATATTAGAATAATTGAGATGAATAAATATTTTCAAATTAATTTTGCTTTTTCGACAATACAATTTTTGTATATCTTAGAAATTCAAGAGTTTCTTAAGAATTTATCCTAGATAAGTTAAGTTCATTAAAGGCAGTTGAATGTCCTGTAAAATTCTTAGTTAGGATGACAATTTTTAATTTTTACCGTTTATTAATACTGAATAAATTTTTTAGGCATTTTTATGGTATATATTTTTTAACTATCAAATTTTGAATTTTGAAATCGAAATAAATATAAAGCTAAAAATTTTTTAATTCTTATATTACTCCACAAGTTTCTGTTTAAATTGATTTTCTATTTTTAAATTGGCTTTCATTTTTCAAAATTATTTTTTAAATTTTTTGTTTGCCACGGATAGTACAGACAGATTGTCGTGTTTACGCTCAAAAACTAACGTATAGTTTCTCTTCGTCGATTACGTGCATTTAAATATCTTCGACTCATACATATTAAACTATCCCAAATATTTTAAAAACTCAGAAATTTTTTCCCTTATTTTTTTAAAATCTCACATTTTTAAAATGTATGCTTAATCAAAGGGAAAAAAACACTGACAGTTCAGTAAACGAGTGATATGTCACAAATAACATTTCATTTCTACCTATTATTACATTTAATTTCTTAGATATAAAAAATTGAAATTACGAAACGGTATTGGTCTTAAGAACTCAAAGATATTTTAAATTGTATTCTTAGGGAACTTATTTGTAGGGATTAGGCTATGTTTCATTCGCTTCAAATTTATTTGATACATTTTTTATAAACCTTCTCAGATCTATTGTTCTGCTATTGAACAGTGAAATTTTCGAAGGATCTTATAAATTTACTCTTTAGTTTAAAAGGAAATGCTTTGCTTTGTTACTAGCATAACAAAACTGCTCTTCTTCACTGTAAAAAGGCTTCTAAAAAAAGTAAAAATAAGCAAAAGTGTGTCGAAATAGCTGCAAATCTAATACACGGTAAAAAATGTCTAAACTTAACTAATTTAATTAATCTAAACTGATTTTGATTCGATAAAAATGTTTCCAAAAACCTCAGATAACTTCATTTAATAT